TKWTKKTWWTWKCWWCAACACTTTKRTTGTACKSCYRWARRYTCTRCRCWAYGSWRTCSMTMCMMCTRATSATGWGGCCYAYGCTYAKTWCAACTTTGTCTCTAATATCKWMCKKWKCAARYASKAMWCAYGSAWTTATTTTCTGAAYTAWYYACTGGTTGGATCTTCCCGCAGTCCAAGYCACTGARTTGGTYWAATGATCCAAATGCAGAAATGWTGCAGATGGGCACAGAAGAAGAACCATGACAAAGTTGAGCTCARTTCTGCATACATTTAAAATCTTTTTAATGCCACTTTCTCATTGGGAAATTAAAAGCAAAAAAGTATTTTTGTGTGTGTATGATAGAGTCTCAAAAGTTGTTTTTCATTTCACTATATATGACAGTGAAGTAGTGCGTGAAATCTGAGCAAGCTAAGATTGCTGTCTCAAGGCAATATGCTGAGATTCTTCTCAGCTGGGTGTGTTAGCCTTAGAAATGATTGCTGGTGGCACCGTGCCCTGTCTTCCCACAGCTGGCATACCAAGACTAATGGAAAACATTTCAGAATAAAGATTTCTTAGAATTCTGTCTTGGATATCTTGTACTCCTAAATTATTCTGAAGACTCTGTACAAAATGCATGCTGAAGATACAACCATGTTCATTTAGCAGGGGTGGGGGGAACCCAAATGATGACTTTTTTAACAGTCTACAATTCAGGATAACAGGAATTTAGAAATTTGGAAAGGGATGCAATTCAACTGTGCTGTACATGGTGTATATGCAGAAGGATGCCAGATACAATGCTTGGTATCTTTAGTTAGGGGAAATGGCCAGGGTGGGTGGACACAATCACCCCCGGACATCCCCTCAAACCAGCTTGGTTTTCCAAGGAGTTGGCAGTGATGAAGCAAGTGAGGTGGAGACTAGAGCAACGTTGGCAGATAACTCAAAGCAAATCTGACTGAGCATAAGTTAGAGTGTATTTGAAAGCCTACTCCACAGCAATGGAGGCAGCAGAGAAATCGTTTCTTGCTGCTACCATTGCATCTGCAAGGAACTGTCCAGCTGAGCTGTTTTGAGTGTTCAGGGGACTGTTACACACTGGTCCTCAAGAATAAATCCCTGACCATTCAGCAGCCCACTGTGAAGAATTTCCAATGCACTTTGCAGATAAAGCCACTTAGATCCATTCTGACTTTCATGCCGTTATTGATACAGTTCTGATAGATGTAACTTTGACTCCTGCTTATCCAGTGTTGATGGATGCCTTTCAGTTTGTGCAGCCTGAGGATGTGGGCAGGATCCTTGGGGAGGTGAGAGCTACCACATGTATTCTTGATCCTTGCCCTTCCTGGCTGATCAAACAGGCCAGAGGGGGACTGGCAGACTGGGTGAAAGTGGTGGTCAATACCTCCTTGGAACAAGGCAAAGTCCCAATTTGCCTAATGGAGGCAGTTGTGAGACCTATATTAAAAAAGCCATCCCTGAACCCCTGTATAATGGATAATTATTGGTCAGTGAGCATGAATTTAGAGCGTGTGGTGGCCTCCCAACTCCAGGGATTTCAGTCTGAAACCAGATTGAAATGGATCTAGATAATCAGTTTTGATTAAATTACTGGTAATTATATTTTTTCGTAATACATTTCTGGTAATTATATTTTTTGTAATAAATTTCTGGTAATTATATTTTTCTGAGGTTTAGAACTCTGTATCATAGAAGAAGTAAAAGCTTCTTTGGGTGTTTTGGGGACTATTGAGAATTATATTGGAAGCCCAGAAGTTCTCTGCCTCTGATTAAAGGACACTCCTCTGATAGAAAATCTTCACAGAGCAAACTGTCTGTTTGAAAACAAAGCCCCCTTCTACACTGCTATATAATTTAGATTATCAAAGCAAATATTTGCTATGAACTAGATAATATGAGCCTACACTGCCATATAATCTAGTTCGAAGAAGATAATCTGGATTTTATATGGCAGTGTAGAAGGGGCCTAAATGGGTAATCATGTAAGATGAACTTTTTTTTCATGTTGTCTTTAGCTAGCAATGTGGAAGTTCTTATGTCTGGAAATGTACGGTGTTACAATATCATAGTTGAAATGATGAAAACCTTCCCTAAGAGTGAGCCAATTCAGGAAGTGAGCTGCTGCTTGTTGCACAAACTTACCATGGGTAAGTCCTGAAACGAGATGTTTCTCTCCTTAGCTAATTTAAAATATTATTATACTACTTGCTGATAGAAATAATTGGGGCGGGGTGGAGGAGGAAAGATGTGTAGCTTTGGGACCTCTCTGCTTAAAGATGGATCTTGATGCTTGCTGACAATCTTCTCTTGAATCTCTTAAGAAACTGTAGCCCTATACAAATTAGAGTTGGATAGGTTCGTTCGGAAGAGCCTGAAAGTTGTAAAAAACTTCCAAATTTTGACTTTCAAAGCAGTTTTGAACTATGCAGGAAAGGTGGGGGGGGGGGGGGGGATCCGAATTTTGAACCACTTACCTTTTTCCCAGAAATATTCCATAATGTTCAGGTGTGTCCCAAGGTTATTTTAATTTTCACAATCATTAAGCAACGTTGGTAAAACCTAAACGTTTTAAAATCTCATGCTTTTCCTCCCCAGCGATGCAAGGGAGGGATGAGGTGGACGTGGCTAAGCACAGCCATTGTTGTAGTTTGTGAAGGCCAGGCCCCCAATGGTAGAGGTTGCAAAAGTCTCTGCTGTTAAACTATATTTTCCACACTGCCAGGCTGTTCATTAGCCAAAATGTCTGAAGGACCCAAAATAGCTGTCTGTAGCAGTCTTCATCTAAATATAAAATAAATCTACGAAGGTGTCTAAAGAAGGCAGTAAAGCAATAAGCAACATTTGCAAAGCCAAGAGAACATAAACTGCTTAAAAACCAATCATTTCACTTTGGTCTGATTGCCATGAACAAGGCACTGGGGTAGCCAGCCACAGCCAGACAGCCCTTTACATCAGTAATTAACGATAAAATAAAATTATTGATTGCAAAAAGGAATAAATGGATGGATGTGTCTTGAGGGTCCCCTCCAACTCAGCAGGGGAAGCAAATGGATGTCAGGATAGTTTGGATGATGCCTTTCTGCCCAGAAGAAGGTGGTCAGACTAGATGTCCCTTGATGGGGTCTGCACTATGATTTCTATTCTCCACCAATTTAACACAATTTGTGCCACACAAACAAAGTTTCTGGAGTAGAACAACTATTTTCAAAGTAAAGACCACCCAATGAAACAAGAAATAACACTTTCAAACCAGGAACAGATTTTCTTTATTATTAAAAATGTTTTTTATAAAAACTTTGAAAATTTGCCAAAAATCCATGGATAAATCAAAGGTTATGAAATGTGGTGAGCTAACAGTGGTTCATGTGTTCTACTACTGTAGCAAGTTTAATCAGGATTGGTTTAAATATGAAGGAGGGAGAATCCCCTGAAGTTTCCCCAGTTCCAACTGCGCATTCATGTCTGCCATTAACGAAGCGATTCAAAAGTTTTGGAAGTTTTGGAAAGTTTTGAAAAAGTTTTGAAATTTTGAAGTGACTTTAGAATCGAACCGCCAGTGCTCCCTACATCCGAAATGAGTTTTGAACCATTTTTTTTATCAACCAAGCCTAATACAAATGCATCTAAGAGTGAGTCCCATTGAAGATAGTGAAGATGATTCTGAGCAAATATGCATATGTTTGCACTAAAACACAAAAAGTCCTTCTGAAGAAGAATCAAGATGAAACAATAGCTCTGACCGCGCTTCTATTTTCTTAGTCTTTCCTAAAGCACCAGTAAAAGGTAAAAGTTTTCCCCTGACATTAAGTCCAGTCAAATCCAGTCGTGTCCAGTTGGTGTTCATCTCCATTTCTAAGCTGAAGAGCCGGCGTTGTCCGTAGACACCTTCAAGGACATGTGGCCAGCATGACTTCATGGAACGCTGTTACCTACCCGTTGGAGCGGTACCTATTGATCTACTCACATTTGCATGTTTTCAAACTGCTAGGTTGGCAGAAGCTAGGGCTGACAGTGGGAGCTGACACCGCTCCCCGGATTCGAACCTGTGACCTTTCTGTCCACAAGTTTAGCAGCTCAGTGCTTTAACCACTGCGCCCCAGTATCTCACTGCAATTGCCACTTTGTGTTGGTCCAATTATTGTATCAAATGCTCATGATCGAACCATTCACAATGAATCTGGTTATAATTTGTGGGGTGGGGGGGATCTCAGCATAGGCATTCTTTCAGTTTTCTCTCTACAGACCATGAGCTGTGTGATGTGTGTACAAAATATGCAGACCCAATTAGCTACTAAAATGTCCTTTCACTTCCAGAAAACTTCTTCAATATACTGGTATTGAATGATGTACATGAAGTCATTGTGGAAGCTATTGAAAAATATCCTGCAAATGCAAAGCTACAGGCTGCAGGCCTCAGCTGCTTGGCTCTTCTCAGTAAGTAATCTATATATATATAAAAGCTATGTGCATAATGAGTACCTTAAAAACCAAACAACCAATGAACGAAGTCACACCAAATTTGGCAACAAAACGTCTCACAACACAAGGAGTGACCATCACTCAAAAAATTATAATTTTGTCATTTGGGAGTTGTAGTTGCTGGGATTTATAGTTCACCTACAATCAAAGAGCATTCTGAACTCCACCAATGATGGAATTGAACCAAACGTGGCACACAGGACTCCCATGACCAACAGAAAATACTGGAAGGGTTTGGTGGACATTAACCATGAGTTTGGAGTTGTAGTTCACCTACATCCAGAGAGCACTGTGGATTCAAACAATGATGGATCTGGACCAAACTTGGCACAAGCTCTCAATACACCCAAATATAAACACAGATGAAGTTTGTGGGAAATAGACCTTGACATTTGGGAGTTGTAGTCACTGGGATTCACAGTTCACCTACAATCAAAGAGCATTCTGAACCGCACCAACGACAGAATCAGGGCAAACTTCCCACACAGAACCCCCAAGACCAACAGAAAATACTTAAGGCCATCCAGTCCAACTCCCTTCACCAGGGCAAGAAAACACAATCAAAGCCCTCCTGACAAAGAGCCATCCAGCCATAGACATAGATAGATATAGATATAGATAAATCGATATGATTCACAAACACACAGATATAGTATCATAGATTTGAAAGGGACCCCTAAAGAAGGACAATAATACATTGCATGTTCCAGAGTAGGCAAACCAGACAATCTCCACATCAACACTGACATAGAAACAACAAGGAATACTGGTTACCCACAAGCATAAAGGAATTACATATTTTACCATTACTTTATTTTCCACATCACTAGACTGGGCCACAGCAACGTGTGGCAGGGGACGGCTAGTGTAGGATAAAAAGAAAACCTTGGGTCAGATCCTGGGCTATAGGGCCCTTGGTGAATCATTCCTATTCCTGTCCTCTTCGTGTATCTGAACTTATTCCTTCTAGAATATTTTTGACATAATAATAATAATAATAATAATAATAATAATAATAATAATTTATTTGTACCCCGCTACCATCTCCCCAAGGGACTCAGTGCGGCTTACATGAGGTCGAGCCCACAATACATCAATACAAGCAATAACAAACCACAATACAAAGCCATAAAATAAATCTCATATACAAATAGCATAAACAAGGAACAAAGTACAATGCACATTTAAAATCTACGGCTGGGCCAAATGTAATTGAAGTTTAAAAAAGTTTAAAAAAATAATGCTGGTCATGAACAAGATAGAGGAGATGGGGCGTTGGTGGTAACATACAAGCAGTCCTAAATCGGTATAAAGTGCTTTTAAAGGACGTAATGCTAAGGGCACATTCAGACATCTGCACATTCAGAGTAGAATGTGACTTTCAGCCAAATAGCCCAGATCTGTGCAGTGAATTCGCCTACTTACTGCTACAGGCATTATCATGAAGGACTTTAAGATCATCTGGAGAGGCCCTGCTCTCAGTCCCGCCATCATCACAAGTATGGTTAGCGAGAACAAGAGACGGGGCCTTCTCAGTGGTGGCCCCTTGGCTATGGAATGCCCTTCCTAGGGAGATTAGATTGGCTTCCTTGCTCCTATCATTCCTGAAGAATCTTAAGACATGACTATTTGAGCGGGCATTTGAAAATACGGAGTAACGGATATAATAATGGAATAACTATATGGCGGAACTGGACATTGTTTTAATGATTATCGGTTGAAGTATGTTTCATTATAATGTTTGATTTTATTGTTGCTGATGTTTTAATGTTGTATATTGTAATTGTGTCCTTGGTGGCATTGGATTCTTGCCTTGTAAACCGCCTTGAGTCGCCGGAAGGCTGGGAGGGGCGGTATAGAAATGTACCAAATAAATAAATAAATTAGTAACATCCATTTTCTTTTTATATGTATATAATAACTAAGATTTATTTTGCTTTAAAAAAACAAAAAAGGCACCCTCAAACAATTTTATATGGTAGCGTTGAAGGAAGAGGCTCTGGAGAGATTTCACTAGTTCCATTTGCTGAGAAGCAAAATCTGTGTTTGGAAAGCTTTCCTATACTTCATAGTTTCAAGGACTACGAGCAAAGCTTTGTTGTTATTCCATAATTTCCCAGGCCGTGCTGGTAATAACACGTGGATGCCAAAACCAGAAATCAGATCATTTGCAAATTATAATTACCATGTTTCATTGCTTTTACTAATCTCTACTAGAGTGTATTAGGAACTGGATATTCCTGTTTCCAAAATACACACAAACGATAACTCTTCTCTGCAGCAGAAACAATATTTTTAAATAGAGATTTGGAAGAAAACGAGGAAGAAGAGGAGGAGGAGGAAGAAGAAAAAATATGCTGGTTTAAAGCATGCTACAAAGCATTGAAATTGCACCGGAAAAATACAGATGTACAGGTAAGAAGTCAACAAATCGTGCAAAGGGAGTCTCAAGAGGCAAGGCAAGCTTGTGACTGACATATTTTGTTTCAACTTTAAGAAAAAGAGGAACCATCAGTTCACAGACAAGCCTCTTCCTGAGCATTTATTTCCTGCTAAGCTTTACAGTCATGCTTTACAATCCTCAACATGGTTTGTACTCATGGGAGACGTGTTAGGTGCGCATTTTCCTCTTGTATTTATTTTATTGCTGGGAGGCTACAGCTCAGTGTTGTTTGCTTAAGGGCACACTTGTCAAAGTTGGAAGCAATACTAAGGCAGGCTGAATAGTCTGGAAGGATCTTGGACATACTCTATAAAACATGGGTTTAAATTTCTCATCTGCCTTAGGCCCCTTCTACATGCCATATAAAATCCAGATTATCTGCTTTGAACTAGATTATATGGCAATGCAGACTCATATAATCCAATTCAAAGCAGATAATGTGGATTATAATCTAGATCAGTGCTTCTCAATCTTCCTAATGCCGTGACCCCTTAATACAGTTCCTCATGTTGTGGTCATCCCCAACCATAAAAAAATATGTAACTATTTTATAACTGCAATTTTGCTACTGTTTTATTTATCGTGTCATCAGCAACCATACCAAAACAAACACACAGATTAAAAAGAAAAAGAAAACACAGATTTTGCAGACTTGGTAGTTGGTTAAATGTCCTTTGACCAGTATCTGGCCACTTGGAGTGCGGGGGAAGGGGGGGGGGAGAAAAAGAAGGGAGATGGATGTGTGGCAAAATTGAGAATGCTTAGGTGTCGTGGGGCTCGTGTATAGGGAAGGGGCAACCGCCGGCCAGTAGCTGGCCACTTGGATGCCTCTGGTGTTGCCGCAAGAAGGTTCTCCGTTGTGTGGCAGGGCTCAGGTTGCATTGCAGCAGGTGGTAGTGGTTTGCTCTTCTCCACACTCGCATGTCGTGGATTCCACTTTGTAGCCCCATTTCTTAAGGTTGGCTCTGCATCTCGTGGTGCCAGAGCGCAGTCTGTTCAGCGCCTTCCAAGTCGCCCCGTCTTCTGTGTGCCCAGGGGGGAGTCTCTCATTTGGTATCAGCCATTGATTGAGGTTCTGGGTTTGAGCCTGCCACTTTTGGACTCTCGCTTGCTGGGATGTTCCAGTGAGTGTCTCTGTAGATCTTAGAAAACTATTTCTTGATTTAAGTCGTTGACATGCTGGCTGATACCCAAAAACGGGATGGGCTGGAGATGTCACTGCCTTGGTCCTTTCACTATTGGCTGCTACTCTCCGGCAGATGTCAGGTGGTGCAATACCGGCTAGACAGTGTAATTTCTCCAGTGGTGTAGGGCGCAGACACCCGTGATAATGCGGCATGTCTCATTAAGAGCCACATCCACTGTTTTAGCGTGGTGAGATGTGTTCCTCACTGGGCATGCATACTCAGCAGCAGAGTAGCATAGCGCAAGGGCAGATGTCTTCACTGTGTCTGGTTGTGATCCCCAGGTTGTCCCAGTCAGCTTTCATATGTTATTGTTTCTAGCACCCACCTTTTGCTTGATATTCAGGCAGTGCTTCTTGTAGGTCAGAGCACAGTCCAGAGTGACTCCCAGGTATTTGGGTGCGCTGCAATGCTCCAGTGGGATTCCTTCCCAAGTAATCCTCAGAGCTCAGGATGCTTGTCTGTTCTTAAGGTGATAAGCACATGCCTGTGTTTTAGATGGATTAGGGATCAGCACATAGAAGATGGCTTTGAAAGGCAGCAGATCACAGGAGCTGTCTTCATAGACCTGTCAGCGGCTTATGATATTGTAAATCTTCTCCTGAGAAAAATGTCACAAAGGACTACCATCTCACCCGCCTCATAGGAAACCTGCTACAAAACAGGAGCTTCTTTGTTGAGTTCCAGGGCCAGAGAAGCAGATGGCGGAAACAGAAGAATAGCCTGCCTCAAGGAAGCATGCTTGCTCCATCCATGTTCAACATTTACACAAATGACCAGCCACTGCCAGAAGGGACAGAGAGCTTCATCTATGCTGATGATCGTGCCATTACTTCTCAAGCAGGGAGCTTTGAGATGGTTGAACAGAAGCTCTCCGAAGCTCTGGTGCTCTTACTGCCTATTACAGGGAAAACCAGCTGATCCCTAATCCATCTAAAACACAAACATTCAAAGCAGATAATGTGGATTATAATCTAGATCAGTGGTTCTCAATCTTCCTAATGCCGCAACCCCTTAATACAGTTCCTCATGTTGTGGTGACCCCCAACCATAAAATTATTTTTGTAACTATTTTATAACTGCAATTTTGCTACTGTAATGTAAATATCTGATATGCAGGGTGTATTTTCATTCACTGGACCAAATTTGGCACAAATACCTGAAACCCCCAGATTTTAATACTGTTGGAATTGGGGGAAATTGATTTTGTCATTTGGGATTTGTAGTTGCGGGGATTTATACTTAACCTACAATCAAAGAGCTCCAGCAATGATGAAATTGAACAAAACTTGGCACAAAGAACTCCCACGACCAACAGAAACTAGAAGGGTTTGGTGGACCAAACTTGGCATGAATACTCAAAATACCCACCTTGAGTTTTGGAGTTGTAGTTCAGCTACATCCAAAGAATGCTGTGGACTCAAACAATAATGGATCTGGACCAAACTTGGCACGAATATTCAAGATGCCCAAATGTAAACACTGGTGGAGTTTGGAGAAAATAGACTTGATATTTGGGAATTGTAGTTGCTGGGATTTATAGTTCACCTACGATCGAAGAGCATTCTACACCCCACCAATGATACAATTGGGCCAAACTTCCCACACAGAACCTTCATGACCAACAGAAAATACTGTGATTTCTGATGGTCTTTGGCAACCCCTCTGACACCCCCTTGCGATCCCCCCAGGGGTCCTGACCCCCAGGTTGAGAAACGCTGATCTAGATTATATGGCAATGTAAATCCAGCCTTGGTGACCTTACCTTTCTCCACTCTACACAGAGAAGGAGATAGTTCCTTTTTTGATACAATACTCACATTCACAAATGGATAAATTGACCCAGGATTTTTGAGGTTTTTTTTTTTTACTTAAAATTCTATACATAAATATGTAGGGTAGTTAAATACTTTCTAGCAAGAAAATGCAAAGAGATATCATTGAACATCAAAGTCAGGATTGCCCATGCAATATTTCTATTTACTATGTATAGTTGTGAAAGCTAGACAGTGAAGAAAACTGATAGGAAAAGAATCAATTCATTCGAAGAGAGTTGCAGATCGCGTGGGTTTTGATGCTTGCGTCTTTGCCATGAATTATAGTGTTGATTATTTTTGGTATAATTTAAAAATGTTTACCCATATAACTTTTTCACACTTTTCAATTTAGGAGGCTGCATGTTGGGCTTTGAACAATCTGTTTATGTACCAACGTAATCTTCACGAGAAGATTGGAGACGAAGAGAAAAAGTCAGTAGGTTTAGTTGTGTGTTTAGTTGCATGTAATTTATTTATTTAAAACATTTATATTCCACCCTTCTCACCCCGTAGGGGACTCAGGGCAGAGCACAACATTAAATACAGCGAACATTCAATGCTGTGACATAAAACCATAAATATATACAAACATTAAAATCACTTATATTCACATTAAAGGTTGCTTAAAAACCATATCAGGACACCATTTTGCCTCATTGCACTGCCCCAAAGGCTTGGAGGAGATATAAAATTAATTCATGTTCTAAGACACATTATAATTTGCAGTTTTTATATCTTTCTTTCAGTATGATTTTGCCTTTTCTTTGCACATTAGGTTGGCTGATCACTCCATGTAACTAGAGCAAAAAGGCCATGAGATTTCTTTTTTTGACTGGGTTTGGAGGCTTACTAGGTAGTTTAGGTAAGCCTCCAAAGTATAGGAATGAGCCACAAATATTTATTATTTTTTATTTAGTATATTTATATACCGGGGGGACGGGGGACAGGGACTCAATGTGGTTTACAACATATTAATGACGAAAATTAAATGCCATATATATAGAAAGAAAAAAAAATCATAATAACTAAATAGCTATTTCTATAGCAGCTGGGATAACACTGAAAGTCTTTTCTGTGGATTTTTCTAATAATAATAATAATAATAATAATAATAATAATAATACCACCTTTATATATACCCCGCTAACATCTCCCGAAGGACTCGGTTCGGCTTACAAGAGGCCGAGGCCCAACACATCAATAAAACCATGGTTTGGACTTTTGGAATATATGAATGCCTACTCATGCCTTGGATTAATGTTTCCTGTTTTTCCTGAATTATATTAGAGAAGTGTGGACTTTGTTTTTATGGACTTTGCTGAACTTTACCATGGGCTATTTTTGCCCCTGCTTATCTTCTTACCTAATTGGATTTACCTATTTCTTTAAAGTGCTTTTTACTTGCTGCTTTTTAATTATCTTCAATAAAAGGAGTGTTTTCCAATCAATGGTGTGGTGTTTACAGACAGAGTACTTTTCTTGTCCTGGAGTGCAACAGAAATGAATTATTTGGCAGTGTAGATTCATTTAATCCAATTCAAAGCAGATAATGTGGGTTATTTGCTTTGATAATCTAGATTATATGACAATGTAGATGCAGCCCCAGTTGGCACCTCCTGATGACTTGCATTTCAGTCCAAGGCAGGAATATATTACAGCAATGCTTGTGCTTTTTTAGTTCACATGGCAGACGGTCATGTGTGTTCATCATCAAGCTTCAAGTAGATTCACATATGGTAAAACTGTAGCTGGGCAGATGAAAATAAGACATGAAATATACACTTGTGTTGCCTTCTCATTCCTTATCCATCACATCAGAAGAGAATAATGTTGCATTTGTTTTCTTCATGGTAACATTTTCATTATTATCATAGCTTGTAGCTCTTTTCCTGCTTGTTTTAGGTTTCCAGTTCATAGGGAAATGATGTTGGCCATGTTGATGCATTCCTCTTCAAGGGAAGTGTTTCAGGCAGCTGCAAATGCCTTGGCGACTCTACTGGAACAAAATGGTAAAGGAACTCAGTAACTCCCATGGTGGGAAAGAGGAGGCATAAAACCTAAACCTAAAGTAGATTTGACCTGATAATAGAAAGTTTAACTATGATTATAGAAAGTTTAACTAAAAGGGAAATGAGTATAATTTGGAGGCTGTGAAGAAATTTATATTTTGAATAAAAAATACTGTTCATATCCAGAGTAAGTTTATTTGCATTTGTGTGCATTAATCCCGATCAAATCTAAACACAAGCATTTAATGAAGACCTGTTGATTTAAATGTGAACTAAATGCAAATAACTCAAGTTATGTTCCTACGAGACTTTCCTGAGGGTGACTTATAGAGTCTTCTTTATGAATACAGCTTTCAACAATTTTTAGCTGGATTTATATGATTGATTTTCATTTGGGAAAAAAATAAAAGGTTACATATTTTAAATTTAGATCCTTGCACCCACCAGACATTATTTACTTTGTTTTTTTTTGTATTGTAGTAAATATTAGAACAATTCTGTTGGCGAAAGGAATACACATGAATGTCCTGGACATGATGAAGAAACATTCAAATTCTTCCGAAGTTGCAGAAAGTGCATGCAAATTGTTGAATCGTGCTTTTGAAGGAAGGTAATTATATTGGAGACCCAATATGGTGTAGTGGTTTAAGTGTTGGACTAGACCAGGGGTCCTCAAACTTTTTTAACAGAGGGCCAGGTCACAGTTCCTCAAACTGTTGGAGGGCCGGATTATAATTTGAAAAAAACATGAATTCCTATGCACAGTGCACATATCTTATTTGTAGTGAGTGCAAAAAAACACTTAAAAACAATACAATAATTAAAATGAAGAACAATTTTAACAAATATAAACTTATTAGTATTTAAATGGGAAGTGTGGGCCTGCTTTTTGAGATAGGATTGTTGTTGTTGTGTGCTTTCAAGTCGTTTGATATTTAGGTTGACTCTGAGCGAGGGTCGGGTCAATGACCTTGGCGGGCCATATCCGGCCCCTGGGTCTTAGTTTGTGCTAAGCTCTAGGGCCCCTTCTACACTGCCATATAAAATCCAAATTATCTGCTATGAACTGGATTATAAGGCAGTGTAGACTCCTATAATCCAGTTCAAAGTTGATAATTTGTCTTATCTGCTGTGATAATCTGGATTATATGACAGAAGAGGCCTAAGAAATATACATTGGTTGGTTATAATGTAATAAGATTCATACTTGTTTAACAAATAAATGTGTTTTAATGTAGTCTTCATTGTTTTTAAATTATTCATCTTTCAGTTTTCTCCCTTTGGATATAATGACAGTAACTGCATCCAGAGTTGTGAAGGCAATGAGGAAGCATAAAACATTGGCATCTGTTCAGTTAGAGGCCCTTCAAGTTATGTTACATTTTATGACTCCAGGTGAGAAAACTCGTAAAGGATATTAGTATATATCATGGTACAGAGACTGATGATGACTAAAGGCCCTTCCACACAGCCATATAACCAGAATATCAGGGCAGATAATCCATAATATCTGCTTTGAACTGGATTATCCAAGTCTACCTCCAGGCCTGTAGCGAGGGGGTGGTTTTAGGGGTTCAACCCCCCCCCCCGAAATGTTTCAGATTTTTTAAACCTGGTTTACTCATGAATTTTAACTGGTTAACCAAATCCCCATGCTAAGTCTATGAGATGCAAAAAATTAAGAGTCCCTCCAGAACTGTAAGCACTATCTCAAGCAAATATTGACAATTTATTCACACTGTCATTACTTGCAGCAATAGCCGATGTAGTGAAGCAACCAAGTTGGGGGTGTGTGTGTTGAATGCTCTCATTAAGGAGGCCAGACTTGGTGGAGGTGGTTGACAGGAGTTGAGCTGCAGGCTATTGAAGGTTGCTCTGCCCCCTGCTGTGCTCTTTGCTTCAGCGTGAGCTAGGAGGCAGGTTCTTTTCAAACCCCCCCCCCCCCCCGAAATTTTCAACCCTCCCCGAAATTTTTTTCTGGCTACGGCCCTGTCTACCTCCTTATAGTCCAGTTCAGTGTGGATTTTATACAGCTGTGTGGAAGGGGCCCAAGAAGCCTACGGTCAATGTCTTAATAATTTTTGATATAAGGAATAAAAGGTGACCACAAGCTAACTGGCCTTCTATGTAACTACACCATGTAACACGATTTTAGTTCCTGGGTTATAAATGTCATTTCCAAATTGACTCTATCACAAAAACAAGGAAAATTAAACTGCAAAAACTTTGTTTTTGTGGGATATCCTGCAGCACATTTTACTATAGTTTTTCAATGAGTATCTCATAGAGTCATAACCATTTAAACATAGTTTGTGGCAGCCACAAAAAAGAAGTTTCTGGAGTACTGCACGATTAAACAGGAAATAACACTTTCAAACCAGGAACAGAATTTTTTAATTTTTTTTTGTTACATCATATTATTTGTTGTATAGCTTCTTATTGTAGTGAAGCAAATGAAAATTTGATCAGTCTTTACTAGGGATGTGAATAATATTCTTTGATGAGAGTAGATGTCTTGATTATGTTTCAAATCTATATAAATAAAAATGTAATATTCATTTGTGGGATTGACATAACTCAAAAACCACTGGACGTAATGATACGAAATTAGGCCAGAAGACACTTAACAGACCAATGAGTGACCATCACTGATAAAAGCATGGAAAAACACAGTGCAAGGGACTTAAAAAACCCCCAAAACCTAAATGATGATAACAGTGCATGCGCAAAAAGTCTCCTGGCCCCGCCTCCTCCTGTGCAAGGGAAAGACCTGGCCATACCAGCTTTGAAAGCCAAGCATGTGTGCATGGGAAAGAAGAAGAGAGAGAGGAAGGGATAGAAAAAGAGGAAATAAGGAAGGAAAGTGGTAGAGAAGGAAAGAACCATACCGAGACCACATCAAAGCGTGGCCGGGGACAGCTAGTGTTTAATAAAAAAGCCAAAAGAATTTAAAAAAGAGACAGATGTCTTGATGAGGCCAATCCTACCCCCACTAATGAGAAAAAGATCAATTACTTTGAGAATTTTTAGACTTCGGGGAAAAATGCATAGTTTTTTTTTTTTTGCCCAGAAATTTCATGAATGGGTTTTGGCACAATGTGTGTGTGTGTTTTTTTTTTTTGGTTTGGGGGGGGATTGTATTGCTGTTCTTGTTGCACAGAAATGGTTTTAGATGCTGGACCTGCCAGAGTGGAAGTCCTTCCTTCCCTTTATCTCAACATGGTGTCTTCATCATGCAAAAATATGTAGAATTATTGGGTTGTTGTAGGTTTTTCCGGGCTATATGGCCATGTTCTGGAGGCAATTTTTCTCCTGACGTTTCGCCTGCATCTATGGCAAGCATCCTCAGAGGTAGTGAGGTCTGTTGGAAGTAGGAAAAATGGGTTTATATATCTGTGGAATGACCAGGGTGAGACAAAGGACTTTTGTCTGCTGGGGCTAGATGTGAATGTTTCAGCTGATCCTTGATTAGCATTCAATGGCTTGGAAGTGCCCGGGGGGAATCCCTTGTTGAGAGTGATTTTATGTGCCTGTTTGTTTCCCCTCTGTTGTTTTGCTGTTGTGATTTTTGAGTCCTTTAATACTGGTAGCCAGATTTTGTTCATTTTCATGGTTTCTTCCTTTCTGTTGAAATTGTCCACATGCTTGTGGATTTCAATGGCTTTTCTGGTTTTTTATTTTTTTTATTTTTGGTGACGTACAGTCCCAGCATCTCTGCGTTCCGTGAAATAATTTCTAGGAGATCAGATTTCATATTGTTCCACTGAAGGATCTTCTGATTGAGGACTTGTTTGAATGCAAGGCACATTCCTAATATGTAGTATCTTGTTACACTGAATCATAGCAAAGAAAACAGACAAGTCCAGACCAGTACAGATTAATCAGTGAATGCAAATTTATCTGTAATATGTGTTACATCCCCTTTAGCTTCAAGCGCAAAGATTGACGCTAAAAATGAACATACCCCAGGAAACCTTATAATTACTAAACCACACATTAAGCAGCTGTGCAACCATCCTTTTGGATTATTGTTTCCAACAGATAAATAATCAGTGCATTACATGGTGCTTGATCTTATGTATATTTATTTAAAAATAAGCCCCGGTTTATTTATTGGGAGGGAAAACACAGTGGGATATTTATGTGTAAACATGGTTATAATCAGGATGTTCAGAGTTTTTCCCCCGAATGCATAAATTACCATTATCCAGGGTACAAATATGCTGTTTGCACAGCATGAAAACAAACAGATAGTACCCATGATAATGTATCTTCTCCAGTAACTTATTTAGCATGTATTTTTAGTAGAGCATCCTTTCTCATAACCGGATCATGGGAGTTCTCTAAATACACTGTTTTGATAGCCTGATCTAAATATAGTCTGCATTCTTTATAACATGTGATAGCCATTATTTTTTTAATATGTGTATTTAATAGTGATTGCAGTATTTATTTATTTATTTAGAGCTTTTATAACCTCCGAGGAGGGACTCAGGCCGGCTAACAAGAGAGAATCAATATACAAATAAACTAAAGCATAATAACATCATAGTACATTAATGCATTAAAACACATTAAGATACAGATCAAGAATTACATAAAGCCAATTCATCAAGGTAAATCACAAATTCACCACCATCCGCCTTGTGGTCAACAGTTATTGATTCGATCATCAATCTGAGAATGCTAAGTTCCAGAGCCAAGATTTTACCATCTTTCTGAAAGTCAGGAGGGACAGATCTGATCTCTATCTGGAGAGAGTTCCACAGCCGAGGGGCCACCATCGAGAAGGCCCTGTCTCTCGTCCCCACCAGACGCGATTGCGAAAGTGGTGGGACCAAGAGCAGGGCCCCTCCAGAAGATCTTAACAACCTTGATGGTTTGTAGGGGAGAATCCGTTTGGACAGGTAAACTGGGCCAGAGTCGTTTAGGGCTTTATAGGTCAACACCAGCACTTTGAATTGTGCTCGGAAGCCGATTGGCAGCCAGTGGAGCTGGTGCAACAGAGGAGTAGTATGCTCCCTGTACCCCACTCCTGTTAGTAATCTGGCTGCCGCACGTTGGACTAGTTGTAGCTTCCAGGCAGTCTTCAGAGGCAACCCCACGTAGAAAGCGTTACAGTAGTCTATACGGGATGTAACCAGAGCATGGACCACCGTGGCTAAGGTATGGGCGTAGCAGGCGCACAAGCTTTATTGTGCAAAAGCTCCCCTGACCACCGCCGAGACCTGGGGTTCCAGGCTCAGTGATGAGTCCAGGATCACTCCCAAACTGCGAACCTGCGCCTTCAGGGGGAGTATAACCCCATCAAGCACAGGTTGTAACCCTATACCCTGTTCGGCCTTGTGCAGCTTGTGCGATCAATAAAATTATCTTTCAAAAGTCATTATAAAATTAGGGGGCACTGGTTTCATTTCTACAGTTTCTAAAATATAGTTAGTAAAACTTTGGTTACTATAATGAAAATTCAGGCTCCTTTCATCTTCATTTTTACAGCTACTGGGGCAAAACTTGCTACAATGGTAGAACACATTTACCACTGTTAACCCATCAAGTTTCAGAACGTTTCACTTATCCATGGATTATGGGGAATTTTCAGTTTTTATAAACAACATTTAAAAAACCTTCAAGATCTATCTCTTTGAATTTTCTATACAATGACACAAGTTGGCATCTGGAGGCCCAAGGAAGCTTCTCCGGATGACTCCTAGCAGTGCTGGGGACGGATTGCCTTGGATGTGCTCCCAGAGGCATGCTGGGAGCAGTAGTCCTCTGACTCCTACTTCTCCCAGCATGCCTCTGGGAGCACATCCAAGGCATGCTGTTGCCCAGCGCTGCTAGAAGTCAGCGTCCGGAGGCACATCCTTGGGCCTAGGCAAGCCTTCAGAGGAGGTAAGCAGCAAGGGCGGAGGATGTCCTTGAATGGAGAGCGGCGGGGGCCACAGGGAAAGCCCAGCGGCCATCACCCCCAGCCAGTCTCTGTGGCAATGTGGCCTGCCACTCCTCCTCCCCATGCCCTCCCTCCACCCTCCTCCTCAAGCTGCGTCATGAAGGACAATTTTATTATTTTCTTTAACTTATTATTTTAATTTATACCCAACGTACTAGACGACCCCTAACTTTTCATATTATTTTCCAGGCTTAAAAAGCCATCTAGTATGCCGGAATATACGGTAGTTCCTTTTTTAATCAGTGTTAAGCTACAATACATGCACCTGTGGATAAGCTGACCCAGGGTTTTTGGGTTACTTTTTGACTAAAAGTTCTAGACTTATGAGTATATAGGGTACTCAAATACCAGCTCCTTATGTTAAAATTTTCTTTGTGAGGTTTTTTCCCTCCTGGCAATATTTATGTAGTAATAGTCACTATCATTAACATTGGTAGCTGAAGCTCTGCTTTCATTTGGATGACAAAAATATTTAATACATGAAACTGAAGAAGAATTGCTTGTACATTGTAATAATACATGAAATAATACATAATAATAACAACAATAATATATGAAATTGAAGAATAATTGCTTGTACATTGGGAATGATATCCCACATGGATTGTGGTAGCTTCCATTAAAATAAGTAGGTTTAGAATGTGTGTTTGTGTGAAAGAGAGAACTTTTTGTACAGACATTTGAGCTTCTTTCACTTTTACATAATGGACCAGCTTTTTATCCTTACTTATAAGGTGAAATGTGAAGATTTTGTGTATGCTGCATGTCTAAGCCACTGGCAGATTTTGCACTCCCATGTTACTTGAAGACAACTTAAAAGTGTAAAATGCTGAAAAAACATCCTGTCTTTGGATTTGGAGGCAGATATGACTTTAAATAATTTTAATCCCAATTTTTCCTTTTCTAAGGAGAATATTTGTTTTTCTCCACATGGTACAGGAGCATTGAAAAAAATTAAGAACAACTCTTTGGGAGATGCTGATTTTGCGCTGACAATGAAAGTGATTAAAAACCAGTGTTTGTTAGAAGGGACCCACGCATTGGTCCTTGATGCTCTCAACACGGTACGGTTCATTTTTTCTTCTTCTTGTGGCATGTTTTCCTTCTACAAGAGAAGTTTCCTGGGTAATTTTGTGATAGAGTTCGAGGTGACTATTTGTACTTAGATGATTATATATTTTTATGTGTATTTTTCAGAGTGTTTAATACTGGTAAGCCCCTGGTGCCACAATGGTTTAAACCAGTGTTTCTCAACCTTCCTAATGCCACGACCCCTTAATACAGTTCATCCTGTTGTGATGACCCCCGACCACAAAATTACTTTTGTTGCTACTTCATAACTGTAATCTTGCTGCTGTTATGAATAGTAATGTCAATATCGGATATACAGGATGTATTTTCATTCACTGGACCAAATGTGGCAAAAATATTTATTTATTTACAGTATTGATATTCTGCCCTTCTCACCCCGCAGGGCATTCAGGGCGATTACAATGTACATACACATGGCAAACATTCAATGCCATAGACACACAACATATATAGACAGARACACAGAGGCTATTTAACTTTTCCAGCTTTCATGAGGGTATTCTGGCCACRTGGGGAGCTGCTGCTTCACCATCCATTTGTGACACTGATGGAGTACTTCCTCATTCTTTTTGCTTGCTTGCTGGAGATTTTATGGCGTCATAAATTAGTTAAATTKGTCTCCCCGTATAAGCGGTACCTAAATTTCCTACTTGACAGATGCAACTGTCTTTTGGGCTGCAAAGGTCGACAGCAAGCTACACAATGGTCAGAAACTCACTCCGACCCGGGCTGGCATCGAACTCATGACCTTTTGGTCAGTAGTGATCTTAATGCAGCTGACTCCCAGCCAGCTGTGCCACAGTCCCGGTGCTGAGACAAGCCCAAATTTGAACACTGGTGGGGTGGGGAGGGGGAGAATTGATTTTGTTGTTTGGGAGTTGTCGTTGCTGGGATTTATAGTTCACCTAGAATCAAAGAGCATTCTGAACCCCACCAATGATAGAATTGGGCCAAACTTACCACACGGAATCCCCATTACCAACAGAAAATACTGTGTTTTCTGATGGTGTTTGGTGACCCCACTAGCACTCCCCTTGTGACCCCACAGGGGTCCCGACCCCCAGGTTGAGAAACACTGGTTTAAACCCTTGTGTTGACAGGATTCCTGACCGAAAGATCAGCAGTTAATCCGGGGAGTGGGGTGAGCTCCTGTTTGTCAGCTCCAGCTTCCCATTGGGGGACATAAGTGAAGCCTCCCACAGGATGGTAAAACATCCAGGTGTCTCCTGGGCAATGTCCTTGCAGATGGCCAATTTTCTCACACCAGAAGCGACTTGCTGTTTCTCAAGTCACTTCCGACATCAAAGAAAAAAAAAGCTCATTAACTTAATCCTAGTAATTTTTCCTGCGGTACAAGCAAGCCACATCAGAATTTTGAATCAAAGCAACAAAGAGAAATATCTGTGTGAATTGTGCTGTAATGAATACTACCAGAGTAAATTTCATGATTTTTTAAAATATTTGGAACAAACGCTGATGTGGTCCCAGAAATTGATCAACATCTGGCTTGAGTGTACAGTCGGAGGATAGCTTAGTAACATTAGTACACATAGAAGTTGAAACACTAGAAAATCACAGTGCTCTTCTCATCTCTGATCAATAGCTGCAACTTATATGAAGAATTTAAAATTTGTTTTGCGTCTGTGGACATTCAATCACTGATCATTGGAAGCTCAAAATGGTAATGTCATTGCAAAACCTACTTGGTGTGATCCCAAACATTGGCCCCTTCCACATAGCTGTATAAAATCCACATTGAACTGGATTATGTGGCAGTATGGACTCAGAAAATCCAGGTCAAAGCAGATATTGTGGATCATCTGCCTTGATATTCTGGGTTATGTGGCTGTGTGGAAGAGCTCCTTGTTTGTTTTAATATATTTCTGACCTCTAGTCTACTCAGAACAGTCAAATTGTAAGACAAACAATTCTACATCAGTTTAACTTTCATAGATCCATAACATTAATTGTAGGCATGGTTAGGTTCGGTCGGAATCTTCGTAATTTGGAATAAATTCGGAAAGATTCGCTTTTTGAAGCGATTTCGAAGTTTTTCAGGAAACCGGAAGTCCCTTTGCCCTTCTGAAGCTTTTTCTGCCATTTCTGTTACGAAGCAGTAAGTGAGCCGGAAATGATTCAGCGTTTCCCCGCTTCTGGTCCCTGGCCTCATGAATTTGGATTTGGCCAGGGTGGTCCATGCCATAGTCACCTTCAGATTGGATTACTGTAATGCACTCTACGTGGGGCTGTCCTTGAAGATGGCTCGGAAATTTCAATTGGTCTAACGGGTGGCAGCCAGGTTACTAACTGGAGTGACTTACAGGGAGCGGTCAACCCACCTGTTTAAGGAGCTCCATTGGCTGCCATTCATTTTCCAATCCCAATTCAAGGTGCAGGTTCTTACCTACAAAGCCTTGAACGATTTGGGACATGCCTACCTGCGTGACCGCATTTCTGTGTACGAACCCACATCTTCGTTCATCTGGAGAGGCCCTGCTCTCGCTCCAACCTCCTTCCCAGGCGCGATTGGTGGGGACAAGGGAGAGGGCCTTCTTTATGGTGGCCCCCGACTCTGGAACTCACTCCCCAAGGATATCAGACAAGCCCCCACATTGGCAGTCTTTAGGAGGAGCCTGAAAATGTGGCTGTTCCAGTGTGCCTTCCCTGAATAAAGGACACAATCCCCTGCAAACTATCCTGAGAAGCACTTTAATTACCCGTTGGGTTGCTCTTCCACTTTTCGTTTAAAACCCTCCTACTAGATACATCCTACCTCTGTTCATGTCCAGCGTTTATTTTTAAAGTTTTAACTACTACATTTGGCCCGGCCATAGGTTTTTAAATCTCTATGTGTTTTTTCTATATGTGAGTTACTGTATATACTCGAGTATAAGCCTAGTTTTTCAGTCCTTTTTTTAGGCTGAAAAAGTCTCCCCTGGCTTATACTCGAGTCAATGTTATTTATTATTTTACTTTGTTGTTGTTATTATTTTTATAACATTTATTATTTTATTATTGTTGTTATTATTACATTTATTATTTTACTCTATTATTATTATTATTATTATTATTTTACTCTATTTATTATTATTGGAGGACATGTAAGCATATTTACATTGAAGAAGGTTAGAATAATGGTTTAATCATAGCTGGACAGTCTTATCTTGAATTACAGTTTTATGTAAATATTCAAAAGCATTTAACCTATTGATGCCTAATTTAATATAATTTTATTGGTATCTATTTTTATTTTGAAATTTGCTAATAGCTGCTGCATTTCCCACCCTCGGTTTATACTTGAGTCAATACATTTTCCCAGTTTTTTGTGGTAAAATTAGGTGCCTCGGCTTATATTTGGGTCGGCTTATACTTGAGTATATACGGTATATTATTGTGTTGTTGGGCTTGGCCTCATTTAAGCCACTCCGAGTCCCTTGGGGAGATGGTGGTGGGGTATAAATAAAGTTATTATTATTATTAAGCTTGGGAAGCCGTTTTAAACCAGAGTGGATGAATTTCCTCCCTTTGTTCCCCTCCCGCTTCTGGAGTAAAACAACTACTTTCAAAGTAAAGACCACCCAATGAAACAGGAAATAACACTTTCAAACCATTAAGGAAGGATTCAGAAGTCTTGAAAGTTTCAAAAAGTTTTGAACATTTTTTTTCTGTGAAAATCGGAATTGACTTTAGAATCGAACCACCAGCACTCCCTACATCCGAAACGAGTTTTGTACCATTTTTTTGAATCAAATAAGCCTAATTAATTGAAGCAATTCAACAATGTTCAAATTGCCCATTGCTTAAGTACTGCAGTATTGTTTTCTATATTTGCAAAAAATGAACACAAATATATTTAACTCTTTATTTCAATTATTTAGTCTACCCTTGTTTATTTTCTCTTTATTTCTAGTTCATTAGCCATCCTGGAATTCAGAAGTGTGGATTTCAGATACTTTCATCTGTGGTTGAGTGTTCAGGAGCCTTAGAAATGTTGTCTCAGCAAGGGATGACAGATACTGTACTTCATACACTACAGATGTATCCTGATGATCAAGGTAGGAGTAACTTATTAAACTTAAAAGGAGCTTACATGTAGTCCAACTGAAACTTTTTAGCTCAGGGCTTTTAGAAACAAAAGCATTTCTGAGAGAATACTTCTCCATCCTTGTTTGAAGGACCCTGAAAGGAAGCAAAAGCCTGTGGTCATGAAAGTTCCTAAACCACAGTCCTGGAGTAATATTTTATATGCTGAAAATATGTATAAAATAACAAAATTTTGTTTGTATATCTTTGTATGGAAGGAAGGCAAAGCAAGAAGTCATTAATTTTTTAGTTATTAATGTGATTGTTTTCTTGTAAGCGTATTTCAACTCATAATGTTGTTAATAGAATGGTAGGCTGTCCTGTTTTTCCAGAAGCTGCACTAAAACTGGAAAAGCTAAGGCCCCTTCTACACAGCCATCTAAACCAAATTATCAAAACAGATAATCCATATTATCTGCTTTGAACTGGATTATATGAGTATACATTACCATATAATCCATTTCAAAGCAAATAATCTGGATTTTATATGGCAGTACTTGGAGCCCCCGGTGGCCCAATGGGTTAAACCCTTGTGCTGGCAGGACTGAAGACTGAAAGGCCAGAGGTTCAAATCCGGAGAGCGCGCGGATGAGCTCCCGTTGTCAGCTCCAGCTATGCATGCAGGGGCATGAGAGAAGCCTCCCAGAAGGATGATAAAACATCAAAACATCCAGGTGTCCCTGGAGCAACGTCAAATAATAATAATAATAATAATAATAATAATAATAATTTATTTATACCCCACCACCATCTCCCAAGGGGACTTGGGGCGGCTTACACGTTGAGGCCAAGTCCCACAACAGATGGTCAATTCTCTCACACCTGAAGCGACTTGCAGTTTCTTAAGTCGCTCCTGACACTATACACACACACACATATACACACACACATACATACATACACTAGCCGTATCTTGCCACACATTGCTGTGGCCCAGTCTGCATATATTTGTTTTGTGTGTGTATATATGCATATATATATTTGTGTATATGTGTATATATGTGGTTTTGTGCATGCATTGTAATGTATTTTTTTTGCCTTTTTTTCCTTTTTAAGTATCTTCTGTTGTGTTTTTCAGGTTTTTATGAGTAATGGTCACTTGTTGGCCTGATAGGTGTATTGTATCCAAATTTGGTGTCAATTCACACACACATGCACTGCAGTGTAGAAGGGGCCTAAGAGTATTGCCCTTTCTAGTGCTGTTTCTTTCCACTCTGGAGTGCTATTTTACGATTGCCTTTAACATTTTATTATTCAGTTTTAGTTCATTCTTTTTGCGAGCCACTTTGCGTCTTACTTCGGGAGAGGCATATAAGCAGAACACTTTTTTTGCCTCTGTAAATGCCCCTCGACCACCACTTGAGGAGTGCCCCCTCAGCTCACAACAGCCCTAGCAGTCCGGGGGGAGCCTCGGCTTTCTTGCCTCGTGCCGGGCGATCCTCTTCCCAAAGGGGCCGGGCCCTTGAGCCTCGCCTAGCCCCTCTCGTTCCTGCTCCACCCGGCCACCGGGTGCGCGAGCAGAGCCGGCGCTCAATCGTTCTCCACGTTCGATCCCTTCCCCATGACCGGCTCCCTTTCCCGATCCCCCGGCGCTCCGCCCGCCTCCTCTCCTCTCCCCAATCTGGGGTGGGCCAAGGGGCGGAGCCACCATGTCCGGAGGCATGTCTGAAGACCCCAGCGTGCGCACCAAAAGTCGCCTCTTCTCCTGACTTTCTCTTCAGCCATTGGGACCAAGAGAGAGAGGGAGAGAGAGAGAGCCCCTCCGGCTGGAGGTATCTCCCACCTCCGCTCCCTCCTTTGTTTTTGCGCCTACCTTCAGGAAAGGTGGGCATCTCCACCTCTGCCTCTCTCTCTCTCTCTTCAGGCCTGCCTCCGGACCCAAAGCGGGCCAGGCAAGGGAGCAAGTGTGGCAAGTGTAGTTACTGGGATGTATAGTTCACCTACAATCAAAGAGCATTCCGAACTCCACCAATGATGGAATTGAACCAAATATGGCACACAGAACTCCCACGACGAACAGAAAATATATATCAATGATTGGTTGGGGGGGGGGGTGTGCCAAAATACTGTTTGCTTACCATTGAAAATTACCTAGGGCCGCCTCTGCATATAAGTGAAAGAAATAAAATGAAAAATAAATAAGAGAACAGCACATAAAGACAGCAGTGGTGTTAGGAGCAAATAGGAAAATCCGTATTGTGTCTACGAACACATCTCAGTTAATATTCCTGCCTTTTCCCTCTCTCCTTTCTTTTTTACTTTTTCTTCCTAGAAATACAGTGCTTAGGTTTAAGGCTCCTGGGATCCTTGATTACGAAAAAGACTTTGTGTATCGCAACAATACATGTACTGGCTGTAATCTTGGTTTCGACTTTACGACGCTTTAAGGATGCTGTGGAAATACAGGTGCATGTATGTGTCGTATCTGGTTTTAAAATGCAACATATTTTGGTTTGGCTGAGGGGGATTATTTGGGAATTCTTTTCTTCTCGTCAGACACAGGTTCCATTGTTACATTTATTTCAAAAGGGCAATTAACTTTTTTTTTTCAAATTGAGAAATTCTTTTATTTATTGTGTCAGGAGCGAACCAAACAGTTGTATTACATTAAAAAACAAACAAAACACACACACACACACACACACACACACACACATATATATATATATATATATATATATTGTGTCAGGAGCGAACCAAACAGTTGTATTACATTAAAAAACAAACAAAACAAAACAAAACACACACATATATATATAAAATTGAAGCTGCAGTCTTATACATGCTTGTAAGTCCAACAAAACTTCATGAAGCTTTCCTAGACATGTTATCATTCTGGTGTCCTTTTATCTATAGGGATTTCACACAATTACGACAATACTTGATCTGTCACCTTGTTTTGCGAAGCTGTTAATACAGGAGTCATTTGATACAGCCATTTTTTATCAGATGTCCATGTGTTTTACTGAACAAAGAGACCAGCAGGTATCTCTCACCTTTCCATCTTCTCTCTTTCTCTAGCCATATCCATGCCCCTTCCCCTGCACATTTAAAGTGATATGTTCTGAAAGGGACTTCTCCAGTTTCAAATTACTGTCTATTCAATTTAGTTTCAGAGTCTTTGTTGTAAATGCTTTGCTAAAATAGCTGAGAACGATGATTTAAAAAACCTGATGTTGGAGAAAGCTTGTGCTGAATATAATACCATTATGGTGGAATGTTTGCTGTTGCTTGGAGCCGATGTGAATAAGAAGACAAAGGCAAACTCTTTAATTTATCAGGTATGTGTGATGAATTGTGATTTGTTGCATTGATTTCGAACAAGTATCTCTGGATTTTCATACTCAAATGATATCTAGACTTGACTCAATGAATGGATTACTGTCTCCATAATGGTGATAAGTCTACGAGGGTTGAATGAAAAGTAATGCCTCCACCTTCATTACTTGGATTTGGATGGGAATATTTTAATAAATCAAACACAGTAATAATCCTTAGAATGTGCTCTTTAACTACCACTGTTCATTTTTCGACATAATCATCAGACATTTGGATACATTTCTGCCAACGATGAACAAGTTTTCTGAAGCTGTCATGGAAGAAGTCAACACTGTTTCCACAACTCATCGTGCACAGATCTTCCGATAGCCAAGCAAAGCAATAATGTGACCCACACATTCTTGCAAAATGCAGATTATGCTTGAAATTTCTCTCTGAATGATACAACGATCGTTCTGAATCAATCTGTCAACATTTTGCTTGTGAAACTCAGTGGTTACTGTCACAGGGCGTCCAATTCTTTCTTTGTCACGCAAGTCAGGTGTTCCCACCTCAACATCTTTAAACTTACTCACCCAACGATGCACAGTACTCACATCAACACAATCACCAGACACAGCTTGCATTCTCTGATGAATCTCCTTTGGGGTGACACCTTCTGCTGTCAAGAATTCAATGACTGCATGTTGCTTAAGTCGCATTGACCAACCATCTCCGCAGGGTTCCATACTTTGCACTTTAACAATACAACTGTTCAATGCTAAGTCTTCCCGCCAAAATGGAACTGTAGAGGAGAGTCTACTGAACAAGTCAGTACCTGCCGCATACCAGTACTGCCATCTGTTGAGGAGTTACGAAGGTGGAGGTATTACTTTTCATTCAACCTTCGTCTGTTCTGGCAATAATGTTATGCTGCTCTGTTCCTTAGACTGAAGCCGAAAGTATGGAGTTGAGTATTTTGAGGTTTACGGACGCACAGATATGTGTCAAATAAGAAATTGTTATCAACAACTTGGATAGAAATAAATATAAATAAACTGTAAACAAAGCCAGTAAAACCCATACTTGCATTTTATTGGGAGACGTTCCTATCCAGGTTGCCCCACTTGTGCTATTACTTTATTTATTCTTTTCTCCTGTAATAGGTTTGCGAGAAAGGCAGCAATCCTAAATTAGTAGAACTGCTGCTCAATAGCGGCGCTCGAGAGCAGGATGTCCGGAGTGCTCTGACAGTCAGCATCAAGAAAGGAGACAGCCAGATCATTAGTTTGCTCCTGAAAAAGCTTAGCTTGGATATTGCCAACAGCAGCATATGCCTTGGAGGATTTTGCATTGGCAAAATTGAACCTGCTTGGCTCAGCCCCTTATTTCCAGATAAACGAGCATCCCTCAGGAAACAAACAAGTAAGTGGCTGTAGCTTAGATGTGGATATTAAAACATTTATGGTAGCCAAACTACAAGAAGCTCTTAGCTGGTTCAAAGGTGGCAATGCAACACTGAAGATTGGGATTATTTTATGTGCAATTGATTTAATGTGTGTGTATTCTTCAGGTTCAGAAATACTTGATTAGCTACTTTGCTTCTCTAAATACAGGATTGGGTGAATCTGGGGCCCCTTTTACAATGTCATATAATCCAGATCAGGGGTCCTCAAACTAAGGCCCGGGGGGCGGATGTGGCCCTCCAAGGTCATTTACCCGGCCCTCACTCAGGATCAATTTAAGTCTGTAACAACTCGAAAGCACATAACAACAACACCAAATTGGGAGGGAGAGCCAATACTCCAGAGGACAGGAGCAGGATTCAAAACGATCTTAACAGATTAGAGAGATGGGCCAAAACTAACAAAATGAAGTTCAACAGGGACAAATGCAAGATACTCCACTTAGGCAGAAAAAAATGAAATGTAAAGATACAGAATGGGGGACCCTGGCTTGAGAGCAGTATGTGTGAAAAAGATCTTGGACTCCTCGTGGAGAACAAGTTAAAAATGAGCCAACAATGTCATGTGGCGGCAAGAAAAGCAAGTGGGATTTAGGCCTGCTTCAATAGGAGTCTAGTGTCTAGATCTAGGGAAGTCATGCTCCCCATGCTCTATTCCGCCTTGGTTAGACCACACCTGGAATATTGTGTCTAATTCTGGGCACCACAACTGAAGAGAGATGTTGACAAGCTGGAATGTGTCCAGAGGAGGACGACTAAAATGATCAAGGGTCTGGAGAACAAGCCCTATGAGGAGCGGCTTAAGGAGCTGGGCATGTTTAGCCTGAAGAAGAGAAGGCTGAGAGGAGATATGATAGCCATGTATAAATATGTGAGAGGAAGCCACAGGGAGGAGCAAGCTTGTTTTCTGCTTCCTTGGAGACTAGGACGCGGAACAATGGCTTCAAACTACAAGAGAGGAGATTCCATCTGAACATGAGGAAGAACTTCCTGACTGTGAGAGCCGTTCAGCAGTGGACCTCTCTGCCCCGGAGTGTGGTGGAGGCTCCTTCTTTGGAAGCTTTTAAACAGAGGCTGGATGGCCATCTGTCGGGGTGCTTTGAATGTGATTTTCCTGCTTCTTTGCAGAATGGGGTTGGACTGGATGGCCCATGAGGTCTCTTCCAACTCTAGGATTCTATGATTCTATTATTCTATTGAAAGCAGGCCCACACTTCCCACTGAAATACTAATACATTTATATTTGTTTAAATTGTTCTTCATTTTAATTATTGCATTGTTTTAAAGTGGTTTTTGCACTACAAATAAGATATGTGCAGTGTGCATAGAAATTCATTCATTTTTTTTTTCAAATTATAATCCGGCCCTCCAACAGTTTGAGGGACTGTGACCTGGCCCTCCATTTAAAAAGTTTGAGGACCCCTGATCCAGATTATCAAAGCAGATAATTTGGATTGTATATTGCACTAGCCATCTCCTGCCATGCATTGCTGTGGCCCAGTCTGGTGACCTAGAAAATAAAGTAACGAGAAAGTGTTGGTTACTAATATTCCATATGCCCTAATATGAACACAGATGAAGTTTGGGGGAAATAGACCTTGACATTTGGGAGTTGTAGTTACTGGGATTTATAGTTCACCTACAATCAAAGAGTGTTCTGAATCCCACAAACGACAGAATTGGGGAAAACTTCCCACACAGAACCCCCATGACCAACAGAAAATACTCAAGGCCATCCAGACCAACTCCCTTCATCAGGGCAAGAAACATAATCAAAGCCCTCCTGACAAAGAGCCATCCAGCCATAGATATAGATAGATATGATTCACACATACACAGATATAGTATCATAGATTTGAAAGGGACCCCTGAAGAAGGACAATATGTTGCATGTTCCAGAGTAGGCAAACCAGACAATCTCCACATCAACACTGACAAAGAAGCAGCAAGAAATACTGTTTACCCACAAACATAAAGAAAATACATATATTAGAGACCAACACTTTCTCATTACTTGATTTTCCAGATCACCAGGCTGGGCCACAGCAATGCGTGACAGGGGATGGCTAGCTTTTTAATATATGTATAGGAGGACATTAGTTCCATGAGTCATTCCAGGTTCACTATTTTGTTAATGTTGACATTTCTGCATGTTCCCAATATTGGCTTTGTTGGAAATATCATATGACAGCTTTTTATTATCCACAATACAAACACACCCTTTGTCTGCACATTTAGATGTCCCCCTTTTTGCCCCACTCTTCACCTTCATGCTTCATTTTTGAAAATCTTCAATTAATCACAGTTTCTTGTATGTAACAAAATTTGAAACATTTTCTCTTCCTGGTTTGAAAGTGTTATTTCTTGTTTAATTGTGCAGTACTTACTGTGAAAGTAGTTGTTATACTCCAGAAACTTTGGTTTTGTGGCTGCCATTTTTGGGCAGACAGCAAAAACAAAGTTTTTAAAGTTTAACAAACTTTTTCCATGTTTATATTCCGAACCAATTATGAAATGACACTTTTCATCCAGGAACAAAAATCGTGTTACATAGTGTTATCTACTATGGAAAATTCTAGATACTAGCTTCAGAACAATCTAGGATATTAAACCACACTTTGAAGACAATATAATAATATCCTGACTTGTTCCAAAGCGGATAATCATAGATTCTCAGTTTGAATGCACTGGTATACAATGATTATTGAGTGGGTTCCTCGTTGTCCTCCCAATCCTTTTATACACCTGCAAGATGTGGACTATCTGCAGACATCACATGCAACTCCTAGAACGATTCCATCAGCATTGTCTCTGAAAAATCCTGCAAATCTTTTGGGAAGATAAGCAGACAAATGTCAGCATACTGGAAAAAGCAAAAACCACCAGCACTGAAACAGCGGTCCTCCGCCATCAAATCCGCTGGACTGACCACATTGTCCGGATGCCCGACCACTGTCTCCCAAAGCAGTTGCTCTGTTCCAAACTCAAGAACGGAAAACGGAATGAGATTTAAAGATGGGCTCAAAGCCAACCTTAAAAACTCTGGCATAGACACTGAGAACTGGGAAGCCCTTGCCCTTGAGCGCTCCAGCTGGAGGTCAGCTGTGACCAGCAGTGCTGTAGAGTTTGAAGAGGCACGAATGGAGGGCAAAAGAGAGAAACGTGCCAAGAGGAAGGCATCAAGCCAACCCCGACCGGGACTACCTTCCACCTGGAAACCAATGCCCTCACTGTGGGAGAACATGCAGATCAAGAATAGGGCTCCACAGTCACCTGCGGACCCACCGCCAGTACACCAATCTTGGAAGACAATCCTACTCGGACAATGAGGGATCATCTAAGTAAGTAAAGTATTTTGGCTCTCATTAATGGGCTGCATATATGAGCATGTTTAACTAGTAGATTTAGTAAAACGTTTAATAAGATGAAATATGGTTGTCTGAACGAAATGGCGGTAAATATAACATTTCTAGTATTTCTAAAATGTTTTTTTAATTGGATTCACGCACATTAGATGCTGGTTCTGCATTGGCCAGAATGGTGCTGAGATACCAAAGGACAAGCAGCTATGATGACCAGTCGAGATCCAGCTCTGATGTAAACACTTCTGAAGATACAGTGGAGAAAAGTGAAGACTGGGCATTCCTACCGGATCCTTTAGTTGACAATGTTTTTCGCCTGAGTGATGATATAGATAGCGAAGGTGAGTTTGTTAGTAAAAAGAGAGCATCGACTAGCATTTGAAATCCTAACTTGACCTCTTTAGATGTAGTATTGATATGACTCTATTAGTGTTGAGTAAGGCTGGATCTACACTGCCCTATATGCCAGGATCTGATCCCCAGATTATCTTCTTTGAAGGAACTGGATTATATGAATCTATAATGCTATAAAGCTGAGCGAAGGAAGATAGATGCTTTTGACCTGTGGTGTTGGAGGAAAGTTCTGAGAGTGCCTTGGACTGCGAGAAGATCCAACCAGTCCATCCCCCAGGAAATAAAGCCCGACTGCTCATTGGAGGGAAGGATACTAGAGACAAAGTTGAAGTACTTTGGCCACATCATGAGGAGACAGCAAAGCCTAGAGAAGACAATTATGCTGGGGAAAGTGGAAGGCAAAAGGAAGAGGGGCCGACCAAGGGCAAGATGGATGGATGGCATCCTTGAAGTGACTGGACTGACCTTGAGGAGCTGGGGGTGGTGACGGCCGACAGGGAGCTCTGGCGTGGGCTGGTCCATGAGGTCACGAAGAGTCGGAGACGACTGAACGAATGAACAACAACAATAATGCTAGATTATCTGGGCACAAATATTCCATATGTCCAACTAGGAACACAGATGGAGCTTGGGGGAAATAGACCTTGACATTTGGGAGTTGTAATTACTCTACAATCAAGGAGCATTCTGAACCCCACAAATGATAGAATTGGGGCAGACTTCCCACACAGAACTCCCATGACCAACAGAAAATATGTAAGGCCATCCAGTCCAACTCTCTTCACCAGGGCAAGAAAACGATCACGATCCCACCTGCGTCGCAAGCGCAGGGGACGAGGGACAGGGCCTTCTCTGTGGTAGGCCCCCGACTCTGGAACTCTCTCCCCAAGGACATCAGACAAGCCCCAACGTTGGCAGTCTTTAGGAAGAGCTTGAAGACCTGGCTGTTCCAGTGTGCCTTTCCAGAATAGGAAACTCCCAGCATCATGTCCCATACGCACTTTACTAGAGATTTAAGATTGTCTGCACATCGCACCTACCCTAAAATCTTTACATTTCACCTGTCATGTTCAGCACTTTTAATTTTATTCATTACATTTAGCCCGGCCCTAGTTTTAAATGTGTCATGATGTATTGTTTTAATGTTTTACTGTTACTGCTTTAATGTTTATTGGTTTGCTTTATGAGTTTTATTGTTGTATTTGTTATACTGTTGTTTTTTGAGGGCCTTGGCCTTTGTAAGCCACACCGAGTCCTTCGGGAGATTTTAGCGGGGTACATAAAGTTAATAATAATAACAACAATAATAATAATAATGTCTGTTAGTGATGTGCACAAACACTACAGGGTTGTATAAGAAAGGCTGATAATAATGATAATGATAATAATAATAATAATAATAATAATAATAATAATAATAATAATAATTACTGTTTACCCACAAGGAGGCCCGTAGCCAGGATTTTAATTCGGGGAGGGGAGCTGAGTTTGATTCGGGGGTGGGGGCGGGGGCTAAGGATCTGCCCTTTTGTATCATTATCCCAATACCCCCATGCATATGGGATATAGTGAGCATGGTGATCAGATCATGATATGAATAAACATAACAGTTTAAATAATGTACCAGTAAGGCCTTCTCGCGGACCACCCTCAAACCCCCCCTCCCCCGGGCTACATGCCTGCCCACAAGCATAAAGAAATTACAAGTATTAGAAAGACTTTCTCATTACTTTATTTTCCAGATCACCAGACTGGGCCACAGCAGCACATGGCAGGGGATGGCTAGTGTATAATAAACAAGCAACCAGTAGCTGGATTTTGAACTGTAGTTCTTCCTAATAATGCACACAGATACCCACTGTAGGAGGTCGGGAATTAGAAAACAAAGATATATAATATCTTTGTTTACACAGTAAACAGAGGGCTAATTAGGAATGCACAGGGAAAAAAATAAACAAGCTAACTAAGCTCGTTCTAATATATATCAAAACCACAGACCTCAAAAAGCAGGACCCAAAGACCAGAATAGTACAGAAAAATACTGTCTTCAGATCAGAGACAAAAACAGAACAAAGAAACAGTAGAAAAGCCTAATTGTGGTTTAGGTGGACCCAGTTAACTAATTAGCAACCATAAAAGTCTGAACCTTCTACAGTCTTCTCTTGCTAATGAGCAGACCTTTGAAAAGCCTTCCCAAAACAAGAGGGGGGAAAAACTGGCACTTTGAGAACGTTACGTGATCCTTGGTTGCTTCGTGAGCACAATCAGATCCTCGCCAGTTACAAAAAGTATTTCACAAACCGACGCAAAAGAAAAACATACTTCCTTCACAATTGCCAATATGAAATGCAGCTCGGATAACGTACCCAAAGGAACGGCACAAAAGTCCTTGGAAAGTTAAGAGGGGGAAGCAAATCGAAAAAGAAACAAAATATGTACTGTGTTAGTAAATATTTTAAAATATGTATGCACGTATTTATAAATGTTAAATATCACTGACTATTTCTGGATATATATATATTTTAATGCTGGTAGCATTTCAAGGACACTCTTTGATACCTGTTTTTGGTTTCCTCCTCCCTTCAGTGTTATCAAGACTTTCTTTTAATCCTGTTTAATCATCCGTCTGCTATAGGGAGTGAAAGCTCATATCTTGTGAAGAGGAAATCCAACTCGGTAGCAACTGCAGATCTCCACAAGGACATTGCTCTGCAGAAGTATTCCCCTCCTCTTCAAAGGCAGTGGAACTCAATTGTAAGTCAAGTAGTTTGAAATCGGTATGAATGATATCAGGGTTATGTTTGTATGGCGTAGGAGGTATATCTGTAAAGGATACAGCAGGCCCGTAGCCAGGATTTCGTTTCGGGGGGGGGGGGCTGAATTTTTTTCGGGGGGGTTTGGGGGGGGGCTGAGTTTCGGGGGGCTGAGTCTGAGTGAAAGAGGGTCTAGCCTAGCAAACCTTTTGTATCATTACCCCAATACCCCCATGCATATGGGATATATTGAGTATGGTGATCAGATCATGATATGAATAAACATAACAGTTTAAATAATGCACCAGTAAGGCCTTTTCGTGAACCACCATGAGAATTTGGGGGGGGGGCTGAAGCCCCTCAAGCCCCCCCCCCCCCCCCCCCCCCCCCGGGATACAGGGACTAAGTCACCACTTCCTAGGCTATCTTGGTTCACAGTTTAGTGTTTCAGTATTTTTTTCCGTTGTACCCCCAAATTGCGGAGTACTGTAGTTAGGTCTAAACTAGTATAATATATTATATATATATATATAATATTTATAATAGTATAATTTATTTATTTATCGTGTCAGGAGCAACCAGACAGTTGTATTACATTTTTAACAAAACAAACAACCAGACAAAATGTAATGCAATATAATGCTAATAATATAATGTAATGCAATGCAATGTAATACTAATTAAGAGTATGTGTAAGTAAGAGGATGTGGTTCTTAATGAGACATGCCGCATTATAACGGGGTGTCTGCGCCCTACACCACTGGAGAAATTACACTGCTTAGCCGGTATTGCACCACCTGACATCCGCCGGGAAGTAGCAGCCAATAGTGAAAGAACCAAGGCAGAGACATCTCCAGCTCATCCCCTGTTTGGGTATCAGCCAGCACATTCAACGACTTAAATCTAGAAATAGTTTTCTAAGATCTACAGAGACACTCGCTGGAACACCTCAGCAAGCGAGAGTCCAAAAGTGGCAGGCTCAAACCCAGAACCTCAACCAATGGCTGATACCAAATGAGAGACTCCCCCCTGGGCACACAGAGGACTGGGCGACTTGGAAGGCACTGAACAGACTGCGCTCTGGCACCACGAGATGCAGAGCCAACCTTCAGAAATGGGGCTACAAAGTGGAATCCACGACATGCGAGTGTGGAGAGGAGCAAACCACTGACCACCTGCTGCAATGCAACCTGAGCCCTGCCACATGCACAATGGAGGACCTTCTTGCAGCAACACCAGAAGCACTCCAAGTGGCCAGATACTGGTCAAAGGACATTTAATCAACTACAAAACTCACAAATTTTGTATTTTGTCTGTTTGTTTATTTGCTTTGTTCTGTTAGAAATGTAATATAATTGATTGGTTGCCCTGACACGAGAAATAAATTAATATAATACTAATAATATAATGCAATGCAATATAATACTACTACTAATAATATGATATTATAATTACATATTTATATTACATGTAATGTTACTAATAATATTACAATATAATGGTATAGTTTATTTTATTTATTTGTGTCAGGAGCAAACCAAACAGTTGTATTGCATTTTTAAGCAAACAAACAAACAAAGCACAAAGTTTGCAAGCTTGGTAGTTGATTAAATGTCCTTTGATCAGTAGCTGGCTACTTGGAGTGCCTTTGGTGTTACTATACGAAGGTCCTCCATTGTGCATGTAGCAGGGCTCAGGTTGCATTGAAGCAGATGGTCTGTAGTTTGCTCTTCTCTACACTCACATGTCGTGGATTCCACTTTGTAGCCCCATTTCTTAACCAGTGGAAAGGACTTAAAAAACCCCAAAAGAAAAATGACGAAAAAATAAATGACATACAGAAAAAAGGGAAGGAAGAGGGAGGGAAGGAAGGAAGGGGAAAAGAAGGGAGGAAGGAAAGGAGAAGGGAGGGAGGGAGGGAGGGAAGGAGAGAAGGAAGGATGGAAGCAAAAAGCAAAGGAAGGAAGGAAAGAGGTAGAGAAGGAAGAAAGGAGAGAAAGAGGAAAAGAAGAGGGATGGAAAGAAATGGGTAGAGAAAGAAGGAAGGAGAGAAGGAAAGAAAAAAAAGGAAGGAAAGAGGGAGCAAAGGAAGAAGAGAAAGAAAGAGAAAGAGGGAGGGAAGGAAAGACAAAAGGAAGGATGGAAGCAAAAAGCAAAGGAAGGAAGGAAAGAGGCAGAGAAGAAAGAAAGAGAAAGGGAAAAGAGGTAGAGAAGGAAGGGAGGAGAGAAGGAAAGAAGAAAAGGGAAGGAGGGAAAGAAGGAGAGAAAGAAGGAGGGAAGGTTGGCCACAGCAGCGTGTGGCGGGTACAGCTAGTAAATATTATATGTATATATATTATATTATATTATATTATATTATATTATATTATATTATAATATTATATTATATTATATTATATTATATTATATATTATATTATAAACATAGCACAGGACACAAGGTGGAACTGTCTTCTGCCCCCCTCTCTTTTCACTCTGGCCCAGAACGGCAGTTGATGCAATGTAGACTCATATAATCCAGTTTGAATCAGATAATCTGGACTGTCTATGGTTGTTTAGAGGGGGCCTTAGGCATACACCTTATATGTTATATATCCAAAAGCCCTTTGAGAACAAGGGAGTCTATTGAAATTTGAATGAAAGTGTCAAAGACTCATGGAAAGTTAGGCCACTTCCACACAGCTGAATAAAATCTTAGGGCCCTTCCACACAGTCCTATATCCCAGAATATCAAGGCGGAAAATCCCACAATACCTGCTTTGAACTGAGTTAGTATTATTTATGTATTATTATTATTATTATTATTATTATTATTATTATTATTATTAATAATAATAAATAAATAATTTGTGTTTAGACAAATTGTGTAAATTAATTGTGTAAATTAATTTCGTGTTTAGACTTGGTCTTATCTCCAAGATTTTGTAATACAGGTGTTCCAAAATTTGGGGAAAAAATCTAGAGAACTTCTAGTCCCAAGCATTTTGGATAAGAGATACTCAACCTATATATGCAATGGCTCTTCACCGACTGATCTTGAGTTGAAGCATCTAGCCTATGCATAATGTATGCACATTTATCCTGAAATGTCCAAATGACCTATAAGCATACATGCCTACTTTTTGCTACTGCTGCCTGCTTGCTGCCTGCCCAGTTTAACTATTTAAATACATGATTAGCAAGTGACAATATTTCCACTATTGATACTGCAATGCAAGCCTAATGTTTGCAATTTACACTGTAAATCTATTCATATACTCATATCTGTAATGTCTTGGTATTATCCAGGGAGCTGGATCACAGTATGAACCGTTAAGGAATCAGAGAAGAAAAACAATGTCTTCAGAAGAATCTAATAGTAAGTAAAACTGTACAGAAGGTTTTCAGATTGAAATTCGTGATTATATATGTATGCCGTTAAACTCTGTTCACGGTCTAATAAAAATATCCAGGAATGTACCATATATACTAGAGTATAAGCCGACCCGAATATAAGCCGAGGCACCTGATTTTACCACAAAAAACTCCTTGACTCGAGTATAAGCCGAGGATGGGAAATGCAGCAGCTATGGGTCAGTTTCAAAATAAAAATAGATACCAATAAAATTACATTAATTGAAGCATCAGTAGGTTGACTGTTTATTAATTAATCTATATATAAAAAAATTCTCTGTGCATAATGAGTACCTTAAAAACAAAAGAACCAATGAACGAAATCACACCAAATTTGGCAACAAAAAGTCTCACAACACAAGGAGTGACCATCACTGAAAAATTATGATTTTGTCATTTGGGAGTTGTAGTTGCTGGGATTTATAGTTCACCTACAATCAAAGAGCATTCTGAACTCCATCAACGATGGAATTGAACCAAACTTGGCACACAGAACTCCCATGACCAACAGAAAATACTGGAAGGGTTTGGTGGGCATTGACCTTGAGTTTGGAGTTGTAGTTCACCTACATCCAGAGAGCACTGTGGACTCAAACAATGATGGATCTGGACCAAACTTGGCACAAGTACTCAATACACCCAAATATGAACACAGATGGAGTTTGGGGGAAATAGACCTTGACATTTGGGAGTTGTAGTCACTGGGATTCACAGTTCACCTACAATCAAAGAGCATTCTGAACCCCACAAACTACAGAATTGGGCCAAATTTCCCACATAGAACCCCCCATGACCAATAGAAAATACTCAAGGCCATCCATCCATAGATAGATAGATAGATAGATAGATAGATAGTTGCTGGGATTTATAGTTCATCTACAATCAAATAGCATGATAGAATTGAACCAGCCGGGGCATACAGGACTCCCATGATCAACAGAAAACACTAGAAGGGTTTGGTGAGCATTGACCTTGAATTTGGGAGTTGTAGTTCACCTACATCCAGAGACTACCATGGACTCAAACAATGATGGATCTGGACCAAACTTGGCATGAATATTCCATATGCCCAAATATGAACACAGATGGAGTTTGGGAAAAATAGACCTTGACATTTGGGAGTTGTAGTTACTGGGATTTATAGTTCACTACAATCAAAGAGCATTCTGAACCCCACCAATGATAGAACTGGGGCAAACTTCCCACACAGAACCCCCATGACCAACAGAAAATACTTAAGGCCATCCAGTCCAACTTCCTTCACCAGGGCAAGAAAACGTAATCAATGCCCTCCTGACTAAGAGTCATCCAGCCATAGATATCAATAGATAGATATGATTCACACAGAGAGATATATATAGTATTATAGATTTGTAAGGGACCCCTAAAGAAGGACAATTCTATGTTGCATGTTCCAGAGTAGGCAAACCAGACAATCTCCACATCAACACTGACAAAGAAACAACAAGAAATACTGTTTACCCACAAGCAGAAATAAATTACATATATTGGAAACCAACACTTTCTCATTACTACATTTTCCAGATCAACAGACTGGGCCACAGCAACGTGTGGCAGGGGACAGCTAGTATTTACATAAAACTGTAAGATAAGACTTTCCAACTCTGACTAAACCATTATTTTAACCTTCTTCTATGTACATGTGTTTACATATCCTTCCAATAATAATAGAGTAAAATAATAAATGTAATAATAATAAAAATAATAAAGCTAACCAATAAGAATAAGAATAATAGAGTAAAATAATAAATAACCTTGACTTGAGTATAAGCCAAGGGGAGCATTTTCAGCCTAAAAAAGGGCTGAAAAACTAGGCTTATACTCGAGTATATACAGTAATTAAAAATCAGTCAAAGTCTCTGATATGAAAATATGCAGAATCAAATGACCATTGAGTTTAGTTTCTTCTGCAAGCCTGAACACACCTGAATCTACATATCCCACACCTAAATATAAGTATTCCACATACAAAATGCCTCTAGGTGATTCTCACAGCTGAGCTGTGTTGCTCAACTGTCAAGTAGGAGAAGCAAGGAAGCTGTTCTACGGCAGAACTCTTTCCTGATGCTAAATATATTATTCAGCAAGATAGCAATACCCTCATGAGCAAAGCTATCTGTAGATCTGCTCATAGCTGCTGAGCAATACTATGATAGTGTTGTTTTGGGCCGTTTAAAACTGCAAAACAGGTTGGAAATGTGAGCACAATCTGGCAAGGTTTTGAGTTCATTTAGCCTTCTGTTTTCTTTTTGCCAAGATATCTGGGTTTTTGTCCTCCCTGAAATCCTTTCTGGTGGATGAGTTAAGATTTGGACCTTAAACCATTTACATGGGCAAGATGTATCCTATCACTGGTATATTCTCTATCTCCCTGACCCCACTGTTGGAAAAAGGGTGTAAATTAAAACATACATTGTTTGCAGAAATGTATTTTTGTATGTGTACATTTTTATATAAAAATATCCTTCCCTCTTGCCCTCATGCAGAAATGCTGTATATACTCGAGTATCAGCCAGCCTGAAAAAAGCGAGGCACCTAATTTTACCACAAAAACTGGGAAAACGTATTGACCAAGGGTGGGAAATGCAGCAGCTACGGGTAAATTTCAAAATAAAAATAGATACCAATAAAATTACATTAATTGAGGCATCAGTAGGTGAAATGTTTTTGAATATTTACATAAAACTGTAATTTAAGATAAGACTGTCCAATTCTGATTAAACCATTATTCTTACCTTCTTCAATGTAAATGTGCTTACGTATCCTTCCAATAATAATAAAGAGAGAAAAATAATAAATGTAATAGTAATAATAGAGTAAAATAATAGAAATTTAATATAAGGTAAAGGTAAAGGTTTGCCCCTGACATTGTCCAGTCATGGGGTGTGGTGCTCATCTCCATTTCTAAGCCAAAGAGGCAGCATTGTCCGTAGACACCTCCTAGGTCACATGGCCAGCATGACTGCAAGGAGCGCCGTTACCTTCCTGCCAGAGCTGAACCTATTGATCTACTCACATTTGCATGTTTTCAAACTGCTAGGTTGGCAGAAGCTGGGGCTAACAGCAGGTGCTCACTCCGGTCCCTGGATTTGAACCTGCAACCTTTCGGTCAACAAGTTCAGCAGCTCAGTGCTTTAACCCACTGCACCTCCAGGGGCTCCTAACAGTAATAATAGAGAAAAATAATAAATGGAATAATAATAATAATAATAATAATAATAATAATAATAATAATATAATGTAAATGTAATAATGACAATAATAGAGTAAAATAATAAAATAAAATAATACATGTAATAAAATAATACTATAACAGAATAAAATAATAAATAACTTTGACTTGAGTATAAGTCAAGGGGGGGGCTTTTTAGCCTTAAAAAAGGGCTGAAAAACTTGGTTTATACTCAAGTATATACGGTATGTAGTTCATCCATGCTATCAGAATTTTAAGGCAATTTTCCAACTGCATGGTTGTTTGATTTTTTTGCATAGTCTTTATTGTGGTTTTTCTTAACAATGAAAGAGGGAGAACAATCGGAGTGATAGGAAAGTAGGAAATTAATAGATTGGCAGGAAAATATAGGAAGGGGAGGGGGTAAGGGTCGAGGATGTGTGTGTGGGGGGGGGGGGGAAGGTTCACCCACCAGTGCGAAAGAGAAAAAAAAAGAAGAAAAAAATAACTTTCCGTTCAGTCCACAGAGGTAATGTCTTTGAGTTATATCCATCTTCTTTTGGTCTGTCGTTCTTTCCATGTTCAATTTAGTTCTTAATGCCTAGTATTATATATTGAGTTTATTTTTCTCTCTTAGGTACTCTTTTAGTTGATTCTAGTTTGTTTGTTTCCCCTTACTCTGGTCCTTTAGCAAATATGAGAGTCTATCCAAATCCATAAATTCTACTGCCTTCTTAATCCATTCTTCATTGGAAGGGGTTTCTTTAGTTTTCCATTTTTGTGCAATTAGTATTCTTGCAGCTGCTAACAGGTAGAAGAATTTCCCCCCCTCATTGCTCCTTAAATTGAGATTTATTATGTTCAACAAATAGTACTCTGGTTTCATATCAAATTTGATTCTAATTATATTTTGTATATGTTTATGGACCAGTGACCAAAACTTTTGAATCTCCTTACACCTCCAAAATAGGTGATAATACGTTCCTATTTCTTTCTTACATTTCCAACATAAATTGTTGTTTTTTCCCTTAAATTTTGAAAGTTGTACTGGTGTTAGGTGCCATCGGTAAAAAACTTTATACCAGTTCTCAATTATGGTAGTAGCTCTTCTAAGTTTTATTTTGTGCTTCCAAACCCGTTCCCATTCTTTGAATAGAATGGTGCAACCTATATCTCTCGCACATTTAGTCATGTTTTCTTTTATTAAGTCTTTTTCATTGTTCCACTCGAGAAGGCATTGATATATTATTTTAACCGCTTTTTTTTCTTTTCTCATTACTATGTCCCAGCATGTATCATTTGGTTGTTTGATTGATCGATCAATCAATTAAAAAAATCAACATGTCATCCAGCTTTTACCCAATAAATGAAATTCATATAGTGCATGTCTTTCCTAAATAAATGTTTCTACCTTTTATTTATTTTCCACTAGAAGGTATATCGAAATTCCAGCCAAAAGTAAAGCGCTCAGACAGTTCCTCTTCATCCATTTCTGACAAGGAATATATAAAGTCACTAGACCTTTCATCTAATGAGCTGGAGAACATCGATGGTCTCAGTCAAAGTTCTTGCTTAACAACTCATCTGGAACATTTGGAGAAATTGGAGCTTCATCAAAATGCCCTTTCAGGCATCCCAGAACAACTGTGTGAGGTTAGTCTACATGAGCAGGGCATCCTAGAGCTCCTCATGCAATTTATCCATAGGGGAAAAAATCCCCAGCAAAATAATCTTGTTGAGGGGCGAAATCCTACTCTCAAAGCAGGCATGTTGTCATACTTTACTTTAGCAGTTTCAAAGATTCATTTTAAAAATTACTTTTTAAAACCAAGTGTGACCTTCTGGTAACTTTCAGTTTTCCTTGATGATAACTGTTTCTCAAAAGCAAAATATTTGCTATACCAAAATTATATCTCTTTTTGTTTTCCTTTTAGACATTGAAGTGTTTGAGCTATCTAGATCTGCACAGTAATCAGTTTACTACTTTTCCTCCATACCTGTTGAAAATGCCTTGTATAGCACACCTTGATGTTTCACGCAATGACATTGGTCCGTCATTAATTTTGGATTCAAAAATTGTCTGTGCAACTCTGAAACTACTGAATTTGTCCTACAACCAGTTGTCATGCATTCCTGAATGTCTTGCCAATGTTGCAGAAAAACTGGAGCACCTTGTATTAGAAGGGTAAGAAGAGCACATTGTCGTTTGCATAGTAGTTTCTGCAACGCTGAAGGAAATCCAGTTGTAAAAGGAGGCTTACAGTTATACTTATCCCCGAACGATATTCTATTATTCTCTTCTGTAGCTTGATCTTCCATTTGCCCTTGAAGAAAACCAACACTTGTTTTTTTCTGTTCTATTTCCCATTATAAGTATGGCTATGATTTCTTTTGGTAACCCAAATTCCAGTGTTAACACATTATCTTTGCATTTACATCATGTACTGACAGTAGATCTAATTCTAGCTGCTTAGCTGTGGTTGTTTCTTTTATTGTTGTTTCTAAAGTTTTGAATGTGTAGTATAAATACATAAGAAGTACAGAAAAGAAAAATAAGACGATTTGTTTCACCTTATGAAGAATGGAAACATGACAATATTAGATTCTAGCCCATAATTTTCTCCTAGAGGCAGGTAAAAGCAAACTTGGGCTGAATCCCTAAATCCCAGGATTTGATCACAGAATATCTACTTATCTCATATTATGTGTCATATAATCCAGGGCCCTTCTATACTGCACTTAATCCCAGGAGGAACTGCTGTGATAACTTAACCCAGTTCTGGGATTGAGGCCCCACACTCTCCCACAACCCTGGGCTTTCCCTAGAGAGTTGGCTACATGCCCTCCTGGGTCAACCAGAGATTGATCTGGGAGGGCAGGGAGCCAACCATCAGCCCCCCCCCCCCCCCCCCCCCCCCCGCTCATTCCCTCCCAAAACTTACGTGAGGGACCTGGCTGTAGCCTCAGGCTCCTCCATAGAGAACTCCTGGCGCAGTATGGGATACATATGGAAGGAGGAACAGGGATTTCCCTACCCCCCCCCCCAACTTCTGACTTGTCATTTTCATGTGCCAGATGCTCTCTCTGGAGGGGCCTGTGTGTGTAGCCGAGCCCCTCACATAAATTGGGGGGAAGGGGCTGGGAGGGAAGGGGATGTGTCCCTCTTCTTCAGGGTCTTTGAGCCCGAAGAACTGAAATCACTGTGAGGATTGACTTCCAGGATTGCAAAAGCAGTCCCGGGAGTGAATCCCCACAGGGCACACACGTGGAAAGATCCGGACCTTAGATCTTTCAAGGTATCTAATTAATCCATAGTAAACTGAGAATTTCCAGTTTAGTCTGGAATAATTTGGGTTTATTTATTTATTTAAAAGTTTTCTATACCGATCTCACCTACAAGAGGGACTCAGATCCGGTTCACAACATGTGTTCATATACAAAAATACAAACCACACAATGCATTATCATTACACAACTAAAAACATATTACAATACAACATCGTCATCATCACAATCACATAGCCACGTCGTCAAAGCATTCCTGGTCATAATTCACAGTTATTCATTCTCCTTCCATGTGGACCAAAGTTGACTCAGTTGTCAAAGGCCACATTCCATAGCCAAGTCTTTGTTAGCTTCCTGAACGTCAGGAGGGAGGGAGCACTTCTAATCTCCTGTGGGAGGGAGTTCCAAAGCCAGGGAGCCACCATCGAGAAGGCCCTGTCTCTCGTCCCCACCAACCGCGATTGTGACAGTGGTGGGATCGAGAGCAGGGCCCCCCTGGAAGATCTTAAAGATCTTGATAGTTCATAGGGGAGAATCCGTTCGGACAGGTAAACAGGGCCAGAGTCGTTTAGGGCTTTGTAGGGTTTGCTTAAAGTTTCACTTGGGCTTCTTCCAGAGATTTGGGGTGCTTCCAGACCCATCCCCTTCCCTCCCAGCCTCTCCCAGCCCCCCCCCCCAACTTACATGAGGGGTCTGGCTGCAGCCACAGGCTCCTCCAGAGAAAACTTCTAGCCCCTGAAAATGACACGTCAGAAGTTGGGGTGGGGGGGGGGGTGGAGCTAGGGAAATCCCTCTTCCTCCTTCCATATGAATCCCATACTGAAAATGACACGTCAGAAGTTGGGTGGGGGGGACTAGGGGTTTGAAAAACTCACTTCGGTGAGGGTTCAATTCCCAATTCCCCCCCCCCCCCAAAATCCAGTTTTTCCATCTTATCTATATGGCATCATAGCAATTTGGATGGCATGCAGCCACCCCAAAGCCCCCCAAAACAACCCTTAATTATTATTATTTTTTTTGGAAAAAACCTTACCCGCCTACCATTAAGGTTCTCCCTGCGTCCTCCTGGTAATTTTCTTCCTCGTCCCCCCACCACCACCCCCTTTCAGTAAGGCTTGGATCTAATGGGGTATTTAATTAATTCGGAATAACTGAGGTTGTTCCGAATTAATTTGTTTTTACCAGAGGCATCATTATTTAATAAAACTTATTAAAATGTTTTATACAGAGTAGAGTTTATTGATTCATTATTTGGTGATGTTTGTGAGGAATGGAAACAAATGACAAAAATATGGGTTGTTGTAGGTTTTTTCAGCCTACATGGCCATTTTCTAGAGGCATTCTCTCCTGACGTTTCGCCTGCATCTATCACCTCACTACCTCTGAGGATGCTTGCCATAGATGCAGGCAAAATGTCAGGAGAAAATGCCTCTAGAACATGGCCATATAGCCCGAAAAACCTACAACAACCCAGTGATTCCGGCCATGAAAGCGTTCAACCATACATTGACAAAAATATGTTGGGATGTGGGTATGGTGTGCTGGCTTTTAGTCTCCAGCACTTTTTCAGTTTTTAGCATAAAGTTTATTCTACTTTCATTTCTCTTGTTTTATCTTCTCCTAGTAACAAACTTTCAGGCATATTCTCACCTATATGTTTAAAAGAACTGAAGGTTTTAAACATCAGCAAGAATGCCGTATCATTCTTGGTTGAGAATTTTCTGAAGGAATGTTTGAAATTGGAGACGCTGAATGCTGGGATGAATTTGCTTGGTGAGTACACAAACTTTTGATCAGGCTCCATCTGGCAAATCAGCCTGCCTATACAAACAATAACCAATAATTCTGGCAAGATGTGTTGATTTTCTATTCTTTCCCCAGTGCCCCAGATTTGCACCATCTAAGGCCCCTTCTACACTGCAATATAAAATCCATATTAGGTTGTTGTCGGTTTTTCGGGCTGTAAGGCCATGTTCTAGAACTGTGATGGCGAACCTATGACACGCGTGTCAGTACTGACACGCGTAGCCATTTCTACTGACACACGCCCGCCGGATATTATTTGTTTATTTATTTTATGCCATTTTAAAAAATAAATAGGAAATAAATTATTATTTTGCAATGTTACCTAAATATTAAGGAGTTTCATATTTAAACTGAATGATAAATACTATTACTTTGATATATTATTCAAATATTAAAATGCATTAAATTAAATGTCAAATTTACAAATATTTAATTATTAATATTTAGGTAACATTGCAAAATAATATTGGTTTCTTTAATTATTAAATAAACGAATATTAGTTTGCATTGTTTCCTAAATATTAAGGAGTTACATATTTAAATTAAATTAAATGATAAATAATACTTTGCTATATTACTCAAATATTTCAGAATGCCTTAAATGAAATGGTAAATTGAATTTTAATTTGACATTTAATTTAATGCATTTTAAATATTTTTAATATATGCCTTAATATATATATATATATATATATATATATATATATATATATATATGCCTTAAATGAAATGGTAAATTAAATATCAAAATATTATTTTGCAATGTTACTTTATTGTTATTGCATTAGTATTATTATTAGAAATACATTTAAATTAAATTAAACATAAATAATATTTCGTTGGGTTTTTAAAATTATATTTTTATTAAACACTCCAAAAAGGATATTATTTACATAAAGAGAGGTAGAATAACATGATAAGAGAGAAAGTGGGAATTACAATTATATATTTTTTGTTATTTAAACTAAATATTGCGAAATTATGGTTTTTTTCTTGAAGTGACACACCACCTGAATTATGCTCAGTTTTTTGGCGAATTTTGACACACCACGCTCAAAAGGTTGCCCATCACTGTTCTAGAAGCATTCTCTCCTAATGTTTCACCTGCATCTGTGGCAAGCATCCTCAGAGGTTGTGAGATTTGTTGGAAACTAGGAAAATTTGGTTTATATATCTGTGGAAGGTCCTGGGAGGGAGAAAGAACTCTTGTCTGTTGGTGCTAGGTGTGAATGTTTCAATTTGTCACCTTGATTAGCATTTGATGGCCTGACATTGTTTAGGTCTGGCTTGTTACTGCTTGGGAAATTCCTTTCTTGAGAGGTGATTAGCTGTCCCTGATTGTTTCTTGTCTAGAGTTCCCATGTGTTAGAGTTTTGTTTTTTATTTACTATTATAATTTTAGAGGGTTTTTAAAAATACGGGTAGCCAGATTTTGGTTATTTTCATGTTTTCTTCCTTTCTGTTGAAATTGTCCACATCCTTGTGGATTTCTCTGTGTAGCCTGACATGGTAGTTGCTAGAGAGATTATCTGCTTTGAACTGGATTATATAGTAGTGTAATCCAGTTCAAAGTAAACAATGTGCATGATCTGATTTAATAATCTGGGTTATATGTCAGTGTAGAAGGGGCCCAAGGCTCAAGAAGTATTTTGGTGAATTTGAAAGGTTGCCTTGTGATATTTCAGTGACACAGTGTAAATATTATTCATGGATCTTGTGTCTGTTTTTGTTTAAAGAGTTTGTAAGTACTGGAAACAAATGATGGGGAAGATAAGTTGAGATGTGGGTATGATGTATTGGTTTTATTATCTGATTTCTTTTAGTTTCAGCTTATTTATTTTGTTATTTTTCTGCATTGTGTGTTTTTGAGATGACACATACCATTTGGGCTTCCGTGTGGCAGAGAAGGAACAGAAAAAAACCATAAATAAAAGAAGCCTCACAGTCTGAAGGCTTTCATTATTACTATGACAGCAACGTAGGAGGACTAAACTCCCACTTGTATTTTTGAAAAGAAAACCCAGAGTTATTGCTAAGTGCATCCAGTACCCAAAGGCAATACAGACGGTGTACTTCCAGGTACACAATGTTGTACTTGAAGTGAACCTAATATTGCTATGTTGCAAACAGAGAACTGGAGTTAGGAGATAATTATTTGGGCTATTTAGGGTATAGACTAGACACCTTCTCTGTTCAAGGAACATCTGTTCAGAGTCCCCTGTTGCTGTGCACTCTAGGGTCCACTAAGACTGGATCTACTCTTACATATAATCCAGTTCAATGCAGATAATAATGATTTAGAAACTGGATTATATGGCAGTGTAGAGGGGGCCATAGTGTTGCTTGAAAAGTGTGACCCCCCCTTTTGTTAAAAAGAAGCTAGTGAAATGTTAGCAGAGGTATGTTGTGGCAAGTTCTTGGTAGTATGGGCATACCAAGCCACCTTGTCTCTCTCCTGAGGAATCTGTATAAGGAGCAAGTAGCAACAGTAAGAACTGACCATGGAACAACCGACTGGTTCAATATTTGGAAAGGCGTATGGCAGGGTTGTATACTCTCACCCTCTCACTCTCATTGCTATGATACTTCATCTTGTTGATGGGAAGCTTCCTACTGGAGTGGAAGTAATCTATCGGACAGATGGCAAGCTATTCAACCTCAGCAGACTGAAAGCCAAAACCAAGGTTACAACAACATCTGTTATAGAGCTCCAGTATGCTGATGACAACGTTGTCTGTGCGCATTCAGAAGAAGATCTACAAGCCACTCTAAACACCTTCGCAGAAGCATATGAGAAGCTCGGCCTGTCATTGAACATTGAAAAAACCAAGGTGCTGTTCCAGCAGACACCAACCAACCCCTCTCCAATGCCAGTGATATAGCTTAATGACGTAGCATTAGAAAATGTTGATCATTTCCGCTACCTTGGCAGCCACCACTCCACCAAAGTCAACATCGACACCGAAATACAGCACCGCCTGAGCTCTGTGAGCGCAGCATTTTTCTGAATGAAGCAGAGAGTGTTCGAGGACCAGGGCATCCGTAGGGATACCAAGGTGCTTGTCTATAAAGCTATTGTCCTCACAACCCTGCTATATGCCTGTTAGATGTGGACTGTCTACAGACGTCACATGCAACTCCTGGAACGATTCCATCAGTGCTGCCTCCGGAAAATCCTGCAAATCTCTTGGGAAGACAGACGGACAAACATCAGCGTGCTGGAAGAAGCAAAGACCACCAGCATTAAAATGATGGTCCTCCTCCATCAACTCCGCTGGACCGGCCACGTTGTCCGGATGCCCGACCACCGTCTCCCAAAGCAGTTGCTCTACTCTGAACTCAAGAACGGAAAACAGAATGTTGGTGGACAGAAAAAGAGATTTAAAGATGGGCTCAAAGCCAACCTTAAAAACTCTGGCATAGACACTGAGAACTGGGAAGCCCTGGCCCTTGACCGCTCCTGCTGGAGGTCAGCTGTGACCAGCAGTGCTGCAGAATTTGAAGAGGCACGAATGGAGGGCGAAAGGGAGAAGCGTGCCAAGAGGAAGGCGCCTCAAGCCAACCCCAACCGAGACCACCTTCCACCTGAAAACCAATGCCCTCACTGCGGAAGAAGATGCAGAGCAAGAATAGGGCTCCACAGCCACATATGGACCCACAAGAGTACCAGAAGACAATCATCCTCGGAAAGCGAGGGATCGCCTAAGTAAGTAATACTCTCACCCAACCTATTCAACTTGTATGCAGAACACATCATGCAATGTGCGGGGCTTGATGAATGCAAGGCTGGGGTGAAAATTGCTGGAAAAAACATTAACAATTTATTTATTTATTTATTTCTTGCATTTATTGACCGCCACTCTCAGCCCTAAGGGCGACTCGTGGCGGTGAACAACAACATAGAAAGACAGTATACAATAAATCACATCAATACATAACAACTACTACTACAAACATATACTTATGCTAAAAATCCGCTTCGTCAAATCCTGGGGTCATAGTCGATTCATAGTCGTAGTCCATTCCAATGTCGTTCCAATGTTACACTCAGTTGAAGGCCTGCTCGAAGAGCCATGTCTTCAGGCTCCTACGAAAGGCCATCAAAGAGGGCGCCTGTCTCACTTCAGCAGGGAGGGTGTTCCACAGCCGGGGGGCCACCACCGAGAAGGCCCGCTCTCTCGTCCCCGCCAGGCGTGCCTGTGAGGCAGGCGGGACCGAGAGAAGGGCCTCCCCGGATGATCTCAAGGTCCTCGTGGGCTCGTAGGCCGAGATGCGGTCTGCAAGGTATTTTGGGCCGGAACCGTTTAGGGCTTTGTAGGATAACACCAGCACCTTGAATTGGGCCCGGTAGAATCGGCAGCCAGTGGAGCTGGGACAGCAGGGCGTTGTATGCTCCCTGCACCCTGCTCCTGTTAATACCATGGCTGCCGCGCTTGGACTAGCTGAAGCTTCCGGGCAGTTTACAAGGGCAGCCCCACGTAGAGAGCGTTGCAGTAGTCGAGGCGGGATGTGACCAAGCGTGTACCACCGTGGCCAAGTCAGACTTCCCAAGGTACGGGCGCAGCTGGCGCACGAGCCTAAGCTGTGCAAATGCTCCCCTGGTCACCGCTGAAACCTGGGGATCCAGGCTCAGCGATGAGTCCAGGGTCACACCCAAGCTGCGAACCTGTGCCTTCAAGGGGAGTGCGACCCCGTCCAGCACAGGCTGTAACCCTATACCCTGTTCGGCCCTACGACTGACCAGGAGTACCTCTGTCTTGTCTGGATTTAATTTCAGTTTGTTCGCCCTCATCCAGACCATTACAGCGGCCAGGCACCGGTTCAGGACTTCGACAGCCTCCTTAGTAGCAGGTGGAAGGAGTGACAGAGTTGGACGTCATCTGCGTACAGGTGACACCGCACCCCGAAACTCCGGATGATCTCACCCAGCGGCTTCATGTAGATGTTAACAGCATGGGGGACAGTAT